CCACACACTGACCACACACTGACCACACACTGACCACACACTGACCACACACTGACCACTCACTGACCACACACTGACCACACACTGACCACACCATGTTAGTTCTTTGTCCAGAGTTTTGTTAAGGTCAGCGTAGTGTATTTGACATGACACACAAACATGTAACACACACATAAACAACACAACACAGAAGGCCTGTAATTTGACTTTTTTCATGTCCAATTACAATTGTCTCATGAGTTATTTTATTGTTGCAACTTTCAGAGCTCGCAGAACATGCAGAGCTTTAAGAGATTTTTCCTAAAAGGATCCATTTTCAAACTTTAATGTTTAAAGGGCCCATATCACGGTTTTTGACTTTTCTCTGCTTTAAACATGATTACAATGCTATTTGGCCTTCATACACAAGCCCACAGTAGTTTATTCATTGATTCTGTCAATCTTTTGTAAGAGAGCAATCTGTCTCCTTCCCCAGCGTGAAGCACAGAAACGCTCGGGTCCACTTCAGTGACGAAAACCACACTGATGACGCGCATGACGCTCATGACCCCGTTTGCTTTGTATTTAAAATAGTTGTTAAAATACTTTTGTCAAAATGGGGTAAACAATACACAATTAGTATGCTGTTTTTTGTCAAAAATAATAAAAATAAAAATAAATTAAAAGCCGGCGGGAGGTGATTGACGGATCAAAACAGCGAATCAGAGCGCACAGGCTCCGGCTCCCGAGTCCAGCGTCTGTGGTCTGGTCTCGCGGACACCACATAGAGCTGCTGTTTTTATGCTTTTGTCAGCAACTAAAAGTGTTAGGATCACGTCAACTTGAATGAAGTGTGTTATGGGTGTAAATAAGTGACACACTATTTGGCCCTAAGAGGAAGAAAGCGGCTCGACTTTTTTCATCTGTTCATCTCATGGATCTATTATAAACCGGTTCATCTGCGACACTTCACTGAGACTGTTCCAGAACTACAGGGACAATGGAACTGGACTTACTCAAAAGCTGATCTGGAAACACGTTATTCCCACGGTAAAAGACGTAACTTGGACCCCCTCAATCTGTGAGTAGTGACGCTAACTCGCTGTATACTTCTGTAAACTAAATAACTAGGATGTGATTGTGCATCGAGGACATAGGGCTCGATGTGACGGATTGTCATTGTTGGAAAAAGTTTATTCTTTTGTATGAAATTACTAAGTACAGGTGATAAACGACAAAAGCGTGATGCTACGTCACCGTGCGGGCGGGGGGAGGCGGGCTCACAGGCAGAGGAGCAGACTCTTCTCTGGATCAGGTCGTTTGAGTCGAGGTGACGTCACCTCTATACAAGAGATGGCTCTAATCTCACAAGCTTTGATTGTTGTGTGGTGTATCATACACATTAATATCACACATGTGCATAGGATTGAGTGTGAAACATGAAGAAAAGCGTGATATAGGACCTTTAAGCCACGTGGTCTGTACTCGGGCTTCTCACAGACTATAGTTTAAAGAGCTCCTATTGTTACTTTCAGACTCGTGCACGTGCTATAAATGTTCTTCCCTTTTTCAGTAAAGCCAGTTCGGATTCATTAAAAATGTAAATTAATTTCAAACTTTGATACTTCACCTTTGTTTCACGTTCATGTGGAGAAAAGACTATTGTACGTGTACTAACGTACTTGCACCAATCATGTCTCAGATAAACTGCCAACAGTTGTATCAAAGACATAATTGTCCTAATTGTTTCTAATTTATCTATTTGGAAGAGAAACATGTCATAAAAGATTTCATAAAATGTTTCTACATCCGTGTTTTCAACCAGTGGACCGTGGTGCGTTAGTGTGTCATCAGAAATGATCCAATATCACCTTTAGCCAAGATTTAGAAATACTTTATATTACTTTTCAAACTTTTTTGATTGTTTATACAAACCACTTTGTACTAAATGCAGCGTCCATTAAAGGCTGCAGCTCTTTTTTCCTAGCACCAGTTTCAACTGTGCGTGTGATTGTTTTAAATGAGAAAGGAGCCACGGCTCAAGGGTTGAGGAACACTGCTCTAAATGTCTGTAGTAATAAAATCATGCAGTTTAAACCAATAATTCTAAACTTCTTTTGTCTCATTCTAAAGTAAGAGTCTAATGACTTTGACTATTGCCTTGTAATCATTCATGCAGTTAAATGTAGTGTTATGAACGTATGACCTAAATGTGTAAATATGACCTAAATGTCTTATATGTCCCGGTGTGTTGTTGTTTGTTTGTGTATACTACCTTCTGTCTGTTTCATTTGCCACGTCCTCCTCAAATGTCCGTTAATGTCTCTTTCTCTTTCTCATGACGTCTTTCAATGTCTTTGTCTCAAAGTGTTCAATGTCTTTGTCTCAAAGTGTTCAATGTCTTCTCTCGTGGTTTCTTTCTTTTTTTTTCAATTACTTTTTCTTACTGGGCGGCACGGTGGCTGAGTGGATAGCATCTCGCCTCTCAGCAAGAAGATCCTGGGTTCGAATCCCGATCGGAACAGTGCCTTTCTGAGGGGAGTTTGCATGTTCTCCCCGTGTCTGCGTGGGTTTCCTCCGGGTCTTCCGGTTTCCCCTACCACTACTTCCAATCTCTTTCTTTTTCTTGCAATGTCTTTTTCTTTCCATGTCTTCTTTGTTTCATATTTGACGCACACAAATGTGTTGTCGTGCTCTTCTGCTCGGCTCACACACCGTTCCTCTTCCTGCACATAACTTAACTCAGTTTGTGCAAAAGTCTGTGGCCTTTACTTTGCTGCAGATGATGATGATGATGCTGCTGTTGCTGCAGCCGATACTGCTGCAGCTGATGATACTGCTGCAGCTGATGATACTGCTGCTGCGGATGATACTGCCGCTGATGAAGATGATACTGCTGCTGTAGATGGGGGAGACGCTACAGTCCTTTGTGGCAGTGACTTGGCAGCGCTCAGTTGTGGCAGTGGCCTGGCAATCGGCCAATGAAACAGACAGAAGGGTTTTCTCGGGAAAAAAAACAGACAAACAAGAAACACAAACAAGTGTGTTAATACAATACAAAACCAATGATTAATTGCAAATCTAAATAAACCTATGAAATAATTAATATTAACATTTTAAACATTAAATTCTGAAAACCAAATCTGCATTCAACTGCTATCCTAAGCCCTATTTTTCAAAAGTATAACGCTCTCTAAGATCATTTTAAATTTTATATCACTAAAATGTTGGGAAAAAATGTTTGTCTAGACGCCTTGGAAATGGCCAAAAAATAAAAATAATGCCTCTTTATAATCTAACTCAAAGTTCTGTGATCATATGACTCCATGACAGTAACATTATCGTGTGTATAAATGTAATTTTCTACTAAACATATATTTGGTGTGCATCTCTCTTAACGGAGAGAGAGAGACAGCAGACAGAAGGAGGGAGGGGAGGGGCTGAGTGGCCTCTCAAACAGAGGAGAACATGTACGACTGAAATACACCAAATTCATGAACATCCCCTTTAAAATTTGCTACATTTTCCTCGTTTTTTATTGTGACAATGTTTTAATCAGTGGTGAGAGTTTTCTCACGTCAAACGACACTTTACACTTATCATTAAATACGTCAGTAATGGAAAACATTACAATTTGCTTACATGAATAATGTATTACTAGTTACAGCAGGGTCAATCTCTTTCCTAGTAAGTGTATTCCTCTTTTTCATAATAGTAGTACCTCTGTAACTATTAAAACATTACATCACAATACAAGAGAACTCCCAGAACTGATCCTTTTTGTTATTTCTCCACATGAAACTCGCATCTACAGCCAAGTGGCTCTCTGATCCTGATTAATCAGATCATTATTATTCAATAGTCAGCCTCCAACAGTTTAAATACTTGGCTTTTTTGTTTAAATTAAATGTACCCTTTTTCCCGCCCCCCGGGGGAAATGGAAGGTTCTATTATCCTGTAACTTCTGACCCTAGCCGTCCCTATTTCTAATTCTATTTCTATTTTCACTAAACACTTGTGCCTCTCTGCACTTTAAAACGGTGTGCCTCTTTTGCACTTCTAAAACCCTTGTGGACTTTCTTTTCCCTTTTTGTTTTTTTAGAGGGGACCCCATCTTCCCTCAAGGCTAAAACGTCAAAACCTGACTATTGTTTTATCGCGTCCGATAAAACGCCCGTCACGGCGGGTCTGTCCACACCTGCAGTCATGCTGGGCTGAGACCTCTCTCTCTTCTATTAAAAAAAAAATGTGCAGATTTTCAAAAATATGATCTGCTTACCTTTTTAGAAGTGACTGTTTTGCAGAGCAGAGAGTCCCCAAACCCACAGACCCGGTTTTTCTATCTGAGCTCATCTTGCGTCTTCTTTCTGTATCAAATCACGTCGGGGTAACCATTTGTTGTCAAAAATGATTTGACTGACGTGTTCAGAGTTTGGTACAGAAATAAGGCCAAGATTTCAAGAGTTAAAATATAACATTTATTTCTCTTTACAATTAAATGTTGATACAGAACTCCTGGAGCTATTCCCTAAATCTATCCCTGTGCTCAGACTCCCCACAATGTGTCCTCCCAACGGTTTTATCAGAATGTCCGATGACGTCACATGGTCTGAGGCTGGTCCCAGTCTGGGCCAGTCCAGTTTTGTGTCTCAGGCCTTGTCTCCGTTAAGAGAGACACGCTGTTCCTGAAAATGATACTTTTATCACAGAAGCCTTGTCCTTGGTGCTTGTCTGAATTCCACTAAATCCAGGCTTAATATTGCACAAAGACATGTTTGCAAACACCTAGTGGAAATCATTAGTATACAACATTATAATTCTACAACAATACACAGATGGACAATGCTAACACAGACTTTATACACAGATGGACAATGCTAACACAGACTTTATACACAGATGGACAATGCTAACACAGACTGTATACAGATGCACTACTGTATTCATCACCCTCATCGGTTCCTCCCATAGACTGTATATATTATATCCTCGTCTCTCTTACCTCTGACCTCTTCTTTCAGGTGGAGTCCACACGTTTGAGTCCAGAGTAGGGATCGTCCTCTTCCTCTCAGCTGCACTTCTGACTCTGGGTTAAACACGTCGACTCTGTAATCCTTACGTTTGTTACAGCTGTTTTATATTCATCTAATATTGTACTCACTGATAATTCACTAGTAACTTTGTCACTTTACCTGTTATTAGTATTACTGCATTATTACATATCCATCTGATATTTCTGCCATTCACCAGTCACTTTACCTGCTGATATTACTGTATTACTGATGCTGATTCTGCTCATATTCATTTTCTCCGCTGCTAAAGTACAATATACACATCTGTAATTACTTCTGAACCAAGTGCAATTATAGCCCCAGAGTTTCTTATTTCAATGATATTGTCTATTATCTTAAATAATAGACTCAATTTGATGTGTACACACCGAGTGCTCTTATTTCCCTCTTTTTCTGCTGTAATGTGCGCAACGATGACACTGAAATTTCTCCACTGCGAGACGAATAAAGGTATATCTTATCTTACTACTGTACTAGAATAGAACCATAACAAAAAAATAGTAATACTAGCATCTAGTAAAGTGACCAGTGGAGTTAGTTCAAAACAAACTCTTTAAAAGGAGGGCAAAATAGATGTTTTGAATATGTCGAAGTCGAATATCGATCATAACTTTACCTGTTCAAGACTGAGGCTAAACAACACCTGGTCACCTGGGTTTTTATTCTGTTTTTTCTTGCTTCGTAATCCTTGTGTAGAATGAAGAGCTTTGGGTGACTTTGGGCTGTAATAATGTTCTATATAAATAAAAGATTACTTACTCACTTTATTGTTGCTTTTATATTTTAAATGTTTTATGATGTTAATTGTATGAGAGAAAACACTTCTGTGCTTTAACTTTTAGCATGAGAGATTTTTCAATATGCAGGACAATTTATAATTCCCACTCTGGTCTCTCTCCCACTCTGGTCTCTCTCCCACTCTGGTCTCTCTCCCACTCTGGTCTCTCTCCCACTCTGGTCTCTCTCCCACTCTGGTCTCTCTCCCACTCTGGTCACCCTCAAACACAAAAGGTTTGGTTTTGTTTCAATCTCTTTATTTTCTGATACAAATACTGTTAGAAAAGTGTTTTTACAAACTCAAAATGTCGATAAATAATTATCAAAAAATCCAGCACATTTGGAGTGGAAAGTCCTGCTTTAGTCTTTGCTGGTCCCTCTCGCTGGTCCCTATCTGGTTTGGTCTCAGAAACTGGTCTCATTCAGTTGTGGTTTGGGGCTGGTGGTGGGAGGAGGGACAGGACTTTCTGGGCTTATTCCCATGGCGGCAGCGGCAGAAGCAGCTTGGGGGGCGTGGCCTGTGGGTGAAGTGGGCGTGGCCTGGCCTTGCTGCAGCGACGACACCAAAGATGACGGCGTTGTCATCATGGAGACACGGTTCACAGGTAAAGAGGAAGTGGGCGGAGACCTGAGGGCAAACCTGGCCTCTGAGTCACTGCTGCACAGAACTAAGCTCCGCCTCCCGAGCTCTGGCCCCACCCCCTCTTTGACAAGCTCCTGACAGCGCTCCACAAACCGGAGAGGGTTCGGACTAGATCCAGGTCTGGGACTGGGTCTGGGACTGGGTCGAGGACTTGGTCTAGGACTAGGTCTGGACTGAGGGGCAGGGGTTGGAGGTTGGCGAGGGAGTGACCCAGAAGCCATGGCCCCTCTGGACTGAGGCCGGTCCGGTCTGAACTCACCAAGAGAAGAGTGAAGACTGAAAACAAACAAGAGACAAATCAGAGACCAGAGAGAGACCAGAGAGAGAGACCAGAGAGAGACCAGAAAGAGCAGACAGTACCTGCAAGTTGAGGCTCGGGGAGTACAGTCTGGAGTCCTGGTCAGAGCCAGGTCACACTGCTCCAACAGCTCCAGCAGCTCCTCCTCTGTGGGTCCGCCCAGAGCTGAGGACCAGAGCGGTTATAGTTCTGGTCTGTCATAGTCCCGGCCCGTCATAGTCCCGGCCCGTCATAGTCCCGGCCCGTCATAGTCCCGGCCCGTCATAGTCCCTGATGTCCACCTTCCCAGCGATGTCAATAGCAGTGGTCAGGCCCTGGTCTCTAGTAAGTGAGTAATCTTTATATATACACCGCCATTCACAGACCAGAGTCACAAAGCGGTTTACAACTGTTATTTTTGGGCATTTGTCCTCTCACTCCACACAGAGATGGGAGCGGGGTCGCCAGTACAAGAGGCGCATGCCAGACCTATTGTACATGTTTTTAGTGTCAGGGGAAACCGGAGTACCCGGAGGAAACCTACGCAGACACGGAGAGAACATGCAAACTCCACTCAGAAAGGCCCTGTTCCGACCGGGATTCGAACCCAGGACCTTCTTGCTGAGAAGTGAGAGTACTATCCACTCTGCCACCGTCCTAGTCTCTGGTCCTAGTCTCTGGTCCTAGTCTCTGGTCCTAGTCTCTGGTCCTAGTCTCTGGTCCTAGTCTCTGGTCCTAGTCTCTGGTCCTAGTCTCTGGTCCTAGTCTCTGGTCCTAGTCTCTGGTCCTAGTCTCTGGTCCTAGTCTCTGGTCCTAGTCTCTGGTCCTAGTCTCTGGTCCTAGTCTCTGGTCCTAGTCTCTGGTCCTAGTCTCTGGTCCTAGTCTCTGGTCCTAGTCTCTGGTCCTAGTCTCTGGTCCTAGTCTCTGGTCCTAGTCTCTGGTCCTGGCCTTACCCCTGATGTCCACCTTCCCAGCGATGTCCATAGCCGTGGTCAGGTCCCACATCTGAATGCTGCCGGTGCTGTGTCCTGAGAACAGGTACCGTCTGGGTCTGGACCCAATCCTGCTGGAACCTTCACACTCATGCACCGTGAAGCAGGAGATGGGGGATGAGTCTACGGAGCGCACCTCACACACCCTGCAACAAGAGCTAGCTCAGACTTGGTCCAGACTTGGTCCAGACTTGGTCCAGACTTGGTCCAGACTTGGTCCAGACTTGGTCCAGACTTGGTCCAGACTTGGTCCTGACTTGGTCCTGACTTGGTCCTGACTTGGTCCTGACTTGGTCCTGACTTGGTCCTGACTTGGTCCTGACTTGGTCCTGACTTGGTCCTGACTTGGTCCTGACTTGGTCCTGACTTGGTCCTGCTCTTGTCCTGCTCTTGTCCTGCTCTTGTCCTGCTTGTCTGCTCTTGTCCTGCTCTTGTCCTGCTCTTGTCCTGCTCTTGTCCTGCTCTTGTCCTGCTCTAGTCCTGCTCTAGTCCTGCTCTAGTCCTGCTCTTGTCCTGCTCTAGTCCTGCTCTAGTCCTGCTCTAGTCCTGCTCTAGTCCTGCTCTAGTCCTGCTCTAGTCCTGCTCTAGTCCTGCTCTAGTCCTGCTCTAGTCCTGCTCTAGTCCTGCTCTAGTCCTGCTCTAGTCCTGCTCTAGTCCTGCTCCAGTCCTGCTCCAGTCCTGCTCCAGTCCTGGTCCACACCTCTTTCCGTTGGAGGACAGTCGGACGTAGAGTTTCTCTGTGTCTGGGACAACTCTCTGGATGAAAACTTGCTGATCGTCTCTTTCTCCGTACGGACCTGAGGGTGAGACATGTGTGTTTGGTTATCTGTGTGTGTCTCTGTGTGTGTGTGTGTGTCTCTGTGTAAGTGTTGTGTTACCGATGTCGGTCCCTGCGCTGCAACCCTGTGCTCCTCCTTCCTCCAGACTAAGGATCTTGAAGGAGGTGAGAGGAGTGGATCCAGGCTGTGTGGAGATCATCCCTCTGAACCGAGTCACGGTCCAGGTACGCACATGGTTATTATCTGCACACACTGACACCAGCGAGGCCAGGGACCAGAGACCAGAGAGAGAGACCAGAGAGAGAGACCAGAGATAAACCAGAGAGAAACCATAGAAAGGAGATTTGCGCAATTTTAGTTGAATCCATCTCTGCAAGTTGTGTATATATATATTTCGCACACACACAAACACGTGACAAACATTACAGTACCATGTGTGCGGTACCATGGGAGCAGTACCATGTGAGCAGTACCATGTGAGTACCTGAGATGAGGTGTTTCTCTGACAGCATGATCTTGGTGACAGGTGAGCGGTGGACACTGAAGGTCTGGAACAGCTGAGGTCCACAGCCCACAGTCTCAGGATGCTGCACGATCACACGCACTGTTCCAGAACTCGTGCCATACGCAATCTCTATCCAGTTACCACTGTCACCTACGCACAACACACAGAGACACATAACACAGGTTAGAGACACACACACAGACAGAGACACACAACACACACAAAGACACACAGAGAGAGGCAGCAGCAGTAGTAGCAGCAGTAGTAGCAGTAGTAGCAGTAGTAGCAGTAGTAGCAGTAGTAGCAGTAGTAGCAGCAGTAGTAGCAGTAGTAGCAGTAGTAGCAGTAGTAGCAGTAGTAGCAGTAGTAGCAGCAGTAGTAGCAGTAGTAGCAGTAGTAGCAGTAGTAGCAGTAGTAGCAGCAGTAGTAGCAGTAGTAGCAGCAGTAGTAGCAGTAGTAGCAGTAGTAGCAGTAGTAGCAGTAGTAGCAGTAGTAGCAGCAGCAGTAGTAGCAGTAGTAGCAGTAGTAGCAGCAGCAGCAGTACTTGTCTTGGGGGTGAGGTAGACGCTCAGAGCAGTGATGGCGTCCTCAGAAGGATCTCTGTAGAGCTCTGTCACCAGGAGGTCGTTGTCCTTCATCCTCAGAGGAAACTTCTGCACATCTGCAACAACACAGACGTAATGTAGCTGTGAACCACAGAGACAGCTCTAATGTAGCTGTGAACCACAGAGACAGCTCTAATGTAGCTGTGAACCACAGAGACAGCTCTAATGTAGCTGTGAACCACAGAGACAGCTCTAATGTAGCTGTGAACCACAGAGACAGCTCTAATGTGCTGTGAACCACAGAGACAGCTCTAATGTAGCTGTGAACCACAGAGACAGCTCTAATGTAGCTGTGAACCACAGAGACAGCTCTAATGTAGCTCTGAACCACAGAGACAGCTCTAATGTAGCTGTGAACCACAGAGACAGCTCTAATGTAGCTGTGAACCACAGAGACAGCTCTAATGTAGCTGTGAACCACAGAGACAGCTCTAATGTAGCTGTGAACCACAGAGACAGCTCTAATGTAGCTGTGAACCACAGAGACAGCTCTAATGTAGCTGTGAACCACAGAGACAGCTCTAATGTAGCTGTGAACCACAGAGACAGCTCTAATGTAGCTGTGAACCACAGAGACAGCTCTAATGTAGCTGTGAACCACAGAGACAGCTCTAATGTAGCTGTGAACCACAGAGACAGCTCTAATGTAGCTGTGAACCACAGAGACAGCTCTAATGTAGCTGTGAACCACAGAGACAGCTCTAATGTAGCTGTGAACCACAGAGACAGCTCTAATGTAGCTGTGAACCACAGAGACAGCTCTAATGTAGCTGTGAACCACAGAGACAGCTCTAATGTAGCTGTGAACCACAGAGACAGCTCTAATGTAGCTGTGAACCACAGAGACAGCTCTAATGTAGCTCTGAACCACAGAGACAGCTCTAATGTAGCTCTGAACCACAGAGACAGCTCTAATGTAACTCTGAACCACAGAGACAGCTCTAATGTAGCTCTAAAGAACAGGAAAGCAGCTTTAGTCACATATTGAGTGTCTGTGTCTCACCGATATAGTATATTGATCCGTTGTTGCAGCCCAAGATCAGCAGAGAGCCTGCCGTGTCATAGGAGCTGATGGGAACTACATCCTGGTTCTGAGACAGAGGTCAGAGAGCAGAGAGAGACCAAAGAGAGAAATAAGATAAGATCAACTTTATTGATCTCACAATGGAGAAATGTACATGTCATAGATAGAATCACTCACACACAGGAAGTGTGCAAACATATTCAAAAAGTTACAAATATAATCTCTTTTTGTGCAAGATATTATGTACAATGATTTTTTTTTTGACTATAGCAGTGCAAGTTTTTCAGCCCTAGTCCAGGTCATTAAAGTTACTTATTGTACAGTCTGACAGTGGTGGGGATAAAGGCCCAGCAGTAGCGCTCCTTCTTGCACTGAGGGTGCCTCAGTCTTCCTCTGAAGGAGCTCCTCAGCTCCTCTACAGTCCTGTGCAGTGGGTGGGAGGTGTCCAGGGGCCTCCTGTCACTTGTTCAGTCTGTTTCTGTCCCGCTCTGTGCTGCCCGGGGCCCAGCACACGGTAGCGTGGTATATGGCTGAGGCTACCACAGAGTCATAAAAAGTCCTGAGCAGAGGCCTGCTCACGCCGAAGGACCTCAGCCTCCTCAGAAGGAAGAGGCGACTTTGGCCCTTCTTGTGCAGGGTGTTATGGGACCAGTCCAGTTTATAGTTAATGTGAACACCCAGGTACCCAGAGAGAGACCAGAGAAACAGAGAGAGACCAGAGAGACAGAGAGATACCAGAAAGTGAGACCAGAGAGACAGAGAGAGACCAGAGAGTGAGACCAGAGAGACAGAGAGAGACCAGAGAGTGAGACCAGAGAGACAGAGAGAATTTGTCCCGCACACAGACCTGCCAGTGTTTGGTGACGGCGTTCCATACTCCCACTTTCCCCGTGTGGCTAGTGGCGATCAGCTGGTTCCCGATGAAGAAGAGAGCTTCAACTGGAACATTCAGACTGAAGACTCCTGAGGAAGAGGAAGAGAATGAAGAGTAGGTCTACTGGCTCAGTCCTTAGTCTACAGCCTCAGTTCTGACCGATCTCACTGCCGTTGCCGTCTGGACAGATGGACCAGAGGATGATCTCAGTGCCAGACGCCACAGCAACCATCTTGTCGTGTTCCCCCAGAGCTCCGCCCATCACCTTGGCGTTCAAAGCCACGCGGTCAATCAGCCAATCGAGACGCGGCGAGGTGAACACGGTCTGCCAGCCGGTTGACTCCTTCACCCTGCAGAAAATACAGTGTTTGTGACCAGAGAGAGACCAGAGAGAGACCAGGGAGAGACCAGAGAGAGAGACCAGAGAGAGACCAGTGGGAGACCAGAGAGAGAGACCAGAGAGAGACCAGTGGGAGACCAGAGAGAGAGACCAGAGATAGACCAGTGGGAGACCAGAGAGAGAGACCAGAGATAGACCAGTGGGAGACCAGAGAGAGAGACCAGAGATAGACCAGTGGGAGACCAGAGACCTGTAAGAGAACAGAGAGAGAGACCAGTGAGAGACCAGAGATAGAGACCATAGATAGAGACCATAGATAGAGACCATAGATAGAGACCATAGATAGAGACCATAGATAGAGACCATAGATAGAGACCATAGATAGAGACCATAGATAGAGACCATAGATAGAGACCATAGATAGAGACCATAGATAGAGACCATAGATAGAGACCAGATGGGGCAGATGAGACTGACCGGTAGCAGACGACAAAGTGTGCGTAGGCCACAGCGATCCAGTTGTGGTGTCCACAGATGATGCGTACGAGGCCGGGCTCCTGAGAGGGGTGAGGCGGGTGAGAGGGGTTAGGCGGGTGAGAGGAGGGAGGGGCCAGTATCCCAGCATGCCCCAGGTTTGGAGGCATTGTGTGGCTGCGCCGCACGGCTCTCTCCACAGGGGGAGCTCTGCTGGAGGGGAAGGGAGAGCCAGCCACACTGTGGCGGTTACGACGCTTCAGAGGGTACACTGTGGAAGAGTACTGGTATTACTATACTATTAATGTTACGGCTACTATTACTACTACTGCTACGGCTATAAAGTATTATAGATCATGAGAAAGAGAATTCGCATTTTTTGTAACAAAGACAAAGACTCTGGTCTCTGTCTGGTGTGTGTGTGTGTGTGTCTGTGTGTGTGTGTATCTGTGTGTATACTGTGTCTGTGTGTGTAATAACAGTGTTTTACCAGGAGGGGGCAGGTATCCGTTGAACAACACATTTCCACAGGAAGATCTGTCAAGCTCATCACACAGCTGCAGCTTACGCACTGAAACCACAGAAGAAATCTGTAATCCCACACTTCTACCACCAGGTGTCAGTCTCTCTGGTACGCCAGTCTCTCTGGTACGCCAGTGGTACGCCAGTCTCTCTGGTACGCCAGTCTCTCTGGTACGCCAGTGGTACGCCAGTCTCTCTGGTACGCCAGTGGTACGCTAGTCTCTCTGGTACGCCAGTGGTACGCTAGTCTCTCTGGTACGCCAGTCTCTCTGGTACGCCAGTGGTACGCTAGTCTCTCTGGTACGCCAGTCTCTCTGGTACGCCAGTGGTACGCCAGTGGTACGCCAGTCTCTCTGGTACGCCAGTCTCTCTGGTGCCAGTCTCTCTAGTCATTCTGGTCCCTATGGTACCGCCTCCCTGGTCTTTCCCTGGTACAGTCTCCCTTACCGTCTGACTGGTACCTTACCCAGGGGTGTGATGCCATAGAACTCGGCCTCGTGCAGCAGCAGTTGGACATGTGTGGATCGAGGGTGAAGTTCTTTGGATCGAAGGAAGTTCAAGATCGGGGCGAAGAGCGACGGGTCTCTGTCGATGAAGATCTGAGGGGAGAAAATCAGAACCAGTTTAAAGCATGGCTACGTAACTTTCACATGGAACTGTAGTAAAACCCACAAGCTCCTGGATCTAAAACAGTTTTGTCAAATGAGTAAAAGGTCACTCTCTGGTCACTCTCTGGTCACTCTCTGGTCACTCTCTGGTCACTCTCTGGTCACTCTCTGGTCACTCTCTGGTCACTCTCTGGTCACTCTCTAGCTGTAAGAGTGAATCCTGTGTTTGTGGGGTGTGGATGTAAAGATAGAGCTGAGATAAAGCTCAGGAGTGTAAGTTACTTACGGCTCCAGTCTCGTCTTTCAGTGTCGAGATCCGGCCGCTCAGCAAACTGCACATATCAGAACCATAAACTTACATAACACTGGATTATGGTATGAGAACGAGAGCAGAGAGAGCCCACAGAGAGAAAAAGAGACCAGAAACAGAAACAAAACAATGAATCAAGTGCTGATGATTGGTTTATCTGCTCCAAACATATACATTTCTAATGTAAAGCTTTCCCTGTGCTCTTAAAGGCATCTGCTGGCCTTAGTAGGATCCTGTTTCCATGGTTACATGCAGCGTAAACACAGTAGAACTGGTTCCATTCACTCCATCACAGCACAGGCTTACATGAGTCTGTTCTACATCATTAAATAGGACATGAGAGAGACCTCACTGTTGATGTCAGCACAGACCTGGTAAAGAAGGAGTCTGGCACCCAGCTGAGCGTCTGTCGGGACGTACTGAACCTGGAACCAGACAGAGGGTTAGTGTCACCTACTGTACCCCTGTTCCCACCAGCTCGGACTAGCTCTGCCTGGATGTTTCCGTGATGCTTTAGTGTCTTGGTAACCATGGCTTCCAGCAGAACTCTGGCCAATAACTGTCAGTTAGAACACTTTAGTACCAGCTCGCCCTGGATAGAACCAGGAGCAAGATGGACTAAAGAAGGACCTGGTATCGAAGAAACACTCCAAATCAGAGCCGGACAGAGAAGTCTACAGCTCTGACAAGTATAAAAGCAGATCAGTAACACTTTTGACACTGAAATCTAACGATACAATACTAATAGAGCAAGAGAGCAGAGTGACTTACTGGGCTTTTTCTTTTAAAGAACACACAGATGTAGGTGCCCCAGCTTTAAAGAACACACAGATGTAGGTGCCCCAGCTTTAAAGAACACAGAGCTGCAGGTGAATCTCTTTGTTCGTGTGTCATGGAATTTCCGCAGTTTAATCCGTGATGCTAACAGTTAGCCAAGCTAGCTCCCACCGGCTCAGTCTCACCTCTTCCCCCCAACATTCAGGTGGATGATGTCTCCACAGCGGCCTGGGCTGGACATCCTCCGAGCGACCTCCGAGCAGCCTATAAGAGGGCAGGCGGAGCTGTTTCCCCTAAGGATGAGTACTTAAAAGCTGCTTTATTTTAAGACATGTTCGCGGACTGTTGTTATGGAGCACACTTCCGGGTCTGTGGGCAGGGTTTACGGAGGATCAGGGAGGGGAAACACGTGTATGGAAGATTTTTTGCGTCATCAGATTTAGAATTTTTTTTAGCTTGAATTTTTCCATTTGAAATTTTTAACCCTGAAAAAGCATGTTTGAATATTTTTATCTTTGCATTTCAATCACTAAAAATTCAGTTTAAAAATTTCAATGTGATTGAAATTTCAAAATGACATATTCACCTTCAAAATATTCAATATATTTTTTTTCAATAATAAAAAAAACAAGACGGATTATTTGTTCCATCAGAAATTTAATTTTAAATGGACCTGAATTCATCTATTTGAAAATTGTTATCCTCTTGAATATTTTTTCCTGTGAATTTCAGGTCCGTGTACTTTTGCGTTCAATACATTTTCTATTTTTGAAGGGAAATGGAAAATCGAAAAAAGGCTCTTTTGCATTTTCAGGCACATAGCAATATACAAAAATGACCATTTGGGGTTTTTCACTGCTCATAAGACGTATATATGTCATAATAACCGGATTTGGGAACTTTAAAATGCAAAATTTGTCCAAACCATGGATCTATTATAATAGGTCCAAACACAGACTTCCTGTGATAATACTAATCCCGTGCGACTGTAGAGAAGTAAAATGTTTGTCCTCATGGTCTCTGTGGCTGCTGTGGTCCATAGACTGTATATTAACTGTGGTCAGATGGGTCAGACGCGGCTCTCTGCACTGCGTGCAGCGGGGAGACCCGCGCACGTGCAGCCGTTATGTGAGATGTCAGTGAAAACAGTATTTTACAGATATTTACAGATATAGCCTTTTTTCGATTTTTCATTTCCTTTCAAAAATGTATTGAACGCAAAAGTACACGGACCATTTCAGTCATTGATTGTCAATTTCATAATGTTAAATTCAACAGTCAAAAATTCAATGGTGAAAAATGCACATGACACATCCGGTGTTCTGACGAGTTTTGTGCTCTGTCAGTTGGTCTGCGCCTGCGTCATGTTACTGAGGTAAAGACAGGCGCTTGCTTTCAGCAGGTCTATCGGTTGATAACATGATTCTAACAGGTTGATATGGGATTTCTAATGAATGGATTGTAATGAAACCAAGGCGAATAACAATACTGTAGTAATACGACATTAATTTGATGAGTTAGTCTTTTGAACATTTTGGGTTATTGTGCTTGTTTCAAATCATTATTGCTGTATATTCCTAAGCAAAGGAAGGTTTCTCACCCATCATCTGTTTGACTAATCCCTGTACGACTGAGGGCTTACACAAAGCTGTATATTCCTGTTTATTTATTTAGGCTGTGTGTGTTTGTTTGTGTTCATGAAAACCATCATATTTGAACATTTATAGCAACAAAGGACAGTGTTATTGTTGGTAACGTGACACAGTATTTGGGTCTAGTTTCCCGTGTAGCAGTTTCCACAGGGCTCACTCGTGTTACTTGAAAGAGCTCCATGTAAAGGAATTAACAAAAAACATGTATTCCACAGCTCGAACTCTTGTGCACTAAATGATATTTGCTGAGTTGTCTCTGAAATGAAGTAACAACGGTAAGAACAATTTCTTGATAGAACCAGGCCGGATTACTTTATTATCGCATTCTTCGCCATTGCCAAACCACAACCTGCCCGTTTGGCGCAAACTCTTGACGTCACCGGCAACCGACCTACAACGGGCTCTCTGAGTAGCCGGTCGAAATACGACCGATTGTATTCGCTAACACAGGGACCAGACCCAGACGCTACATGCAGTGAAATGATGATTGAGCGGAGTGTACGGTTGGCTATGGCCAGGCTAGGCCTGACCAAGCCGAGCATCAACAACTGTAGATGGGCCAATGGGGGCGGGTCCCGGTGTTCTGTCGAGTTGGTCTGCCCGTCGAGATGATCTGGCTCAGCTGTTAAAGATGTAATGCAAACCAGCACTGCACGTCTCACGGCAGCCAAAGCAAACCAAGATGGCGGATATGTCGTCAATTCGTAGCCTGCCAGCTTGGATTGCTTCGGCTGCCGTGAGACGCGCATGCGCAGGTTTGCATTACATCATTAACAGCTGAGCCAGATCATCTCGACGGGCAGACCAACTCGACAGAACACCTGTTCAAAAATGTCCAAAATGAGGAACGCTGACATGCTTGCAATACCACCCCGATCCAGTGAGGGTGGACCCGGAATAAGAATTAGCCAATGCTAAAGTATACATAGTTCCTACATGACGTCACTACATACGGGGATTTGCCGACCCGGCGCCATTTGTGTTGGCATGCTGTGGGCAAAACAATAAGAAGAAGCTGAAACGTGTTAATGTCGTGATAAAGTTGAAAATGGTCATCTCCTGCTGGGTCAATGGATGTTCAAATCGTGCCGGAGGTTCTGTTAAACTTGGATTTTACAGTATACCCATCATTAGACTTCATGAATGTGAGAAGACTAAGCTTTTGTCAGAACAACGACGGAGGTTATGGCTTGCGAAGATAAACAGGCAAGAAACTCCCTCAAAACACGCAAGAATATGCTCGGAGCACTTTGTGTCAGGTGCGTATCGTATCTCATAATGTGTTGACAGACGTAATTTACTCAGTACTAACTTGTGTATGCTGATAGCTGGTAACTTGAGTTTCATTATTTAGATTACTTTATTATGAGGAGGATCGGTGTCGCGTCCGAGGCTCTCGAGGGCAACGTAAATGTATTAAATAGATAATAATAGTTCTATGGTGGGCTAAAACAATGTTCACAAACAGCATTGCTTCTGTAAAAAGATCTGTGTCATAAAATAAACTGCTCTTTACGCCTGGAAAAATCAGTTGCCCACCATTCACCAAAACATACGGTCAAAAACAGCAATCCAGAGTGTCCGTGTGGCATTAGCATTAATTAAATTAATTGTTAATATAATTAAAATAATTAAATGGAGCTCCAACTGGTATTAAATCTAAAGTTCATGCTACATACCTTCGCTATGATGACTACTTTTCCATTGATTGCACTTGAGCAAACGTCACCAACCCAGCCCTCGGCAAATTGATTGTACGCCTCCAGCGATTTCCATGCTCGGAATTGCTCACATGTGTAAAAGCTCCTAGCCAATACCAGATAATGGTACACATGATAATACTGTATCTGAGGCAAAGCTGCATAATCAGCGTTCAGTGCTTCCTTTGTTAGCGTATACGGATCCACACAATTAATGACTGAAATTTTCGCATCGTACCTCTCTCTATCTTGTATTAATAGAGTCTCTTTATAATCTCTGTCACTTTGTCTCTTCATGATTTTCGTAACATTTTAAAAACAGGATTAAACATTCGAAATTTGCGAGTGAAACTCATTAAACTTTGTAAACACAGCAGCGTGCCATCAAAGATGGCGTCTCCGAGGAGGTCATGTGACATTCATTGGTCTGTGGGAACTATATAGCATCTTGGCCCAAAGCTACGTTTCAGATGTGTCAATGCTGAGACGAGTATATATTTTTTGGATCACTCTAGTTTTGTCACTGTGGAAATTTGAAGGCACTTGTCAAATGAATGGGGCCGAGTTAAAGCTTACTTGTGCGTCTCACATCGTATAGAATACACAGGGTAACAATCAACGATTACCCTCTCACGACCACCTCCCGATTGACAATCATATGGTCGAATGAAAATCGAACTGGTTTGAAATTCTGATCGGCCCTCGAAAGGGTATCGCGCTGTTGAAGTAATGCTACGAGCGTCTACGACCAGATTACACTCTACCTCTTGTATATTATTATAGATCCATGCTTGTAGCATACATAGACTATAAATAGTAACGGACAGAGTCACGCCTGTCTTTGCCCATCTAACAAATGGGCCAAAAAATGTGCTCTACTGGAGCTATTCAAAATGGCCGCGAGTGGTCCAGCCCACAAGAAAATTGTGAAAAAACGCATCTGCGCATGCGTCAGCCGACGCAGCTCCATTCATTTAAACGAGAGACTTCAGAAATTCACAGCAAGTGAACTAGAGTGGTCCAAAACACCCCCCTCAGCATTGACACACATGTGGAACGGAGCTTTGGGCCAAGAGCCAACTTTTGGACCATCCTGTAAAGACGTTTTCGAGAGGTCTGCCAATGCTATATGTTAGCATTGGCTAATTCTTATACCGGGTCCACCCCCATCGGCCCGGGGTGGTATTGCAACCATGTCAGCGCACGTCATTTTGGCCACTTTTGAGCCGGGACCCGCCCCCACTCGTAGCATATAATTCCACGCACTGATGCGAGCACATGTGTCGTCGAGAAAAACTAACATACAGAACAACAAATATTACACCTCTGGCCTGCGCAAACACTGGGAGATGCAGCATGGCACTGTACTATAGTGAACACTGCTCCGTACAGACGCCCTCATGGCATCAGGATGGGGAAAATACAGAGAATGAAATGCACTATGGGAATCAAACTCATTGTGTCCCATTGACGCACAAATACGTCAAAGTAAATCGTCGTGTGCCATTGACGGATTAATCCGTCAATTGCCTTTTTCGCTATTTTCACGTTCCCAGATGTCTATTGTATCTAGTATGTATGGGGATGACTTGAGACCATATTTTATCGAGCCAGCAGGTGGCAGCATTGCTCTCTGAATGGTTTGAAAACATGTAGGTGCACATGTTGTGCCTCTTTTTTCTCAACTTTCTGGTGATTTCTGGTGATTTCAGTAAAACTTCCCTCTACTCGACGGAGGATTACAGGGGAACGAAAAAAGCTATAAACAAAATTCTTTTTGCTGAGGAAAGTAGACAGTCCATTCTTTTAGAATCTGGTGTCGGATTTCAGATAGTCATAGTACACAATATTCTGTGGGTCTTGAAAAATCAGTAAAAATCATCAGAAATGGCTGGCACTGTGGGAGTACCTGTTCTGAAATAGGCTGGCATTCAATGAGTTAAAGTGCACCTTTACCTTTATCTTATAACTTAATGGGCGGTTTTCATTAAATTGTACAAAACAACTGTACACTACTATAATAATGTATATTATAGCAGTGTACAGTTGCTTTGTGCTGACAGTTATGGCCATATATCTAGATTTTAATTCAGCCTTAATAATTACAGAGAAAATACACTTATAACTCTGATAATGTTGTACTAACCATACTCTGGTCATCAGGGACGTGCAGTCAGGGGAGGCAGGGGAGGCAGAGCCTCACCTGCCATTATTGGAAACTAATAATTATTTTAGTTTAAATATATAATTTATATCCACTGTCCTATGCTTTTAATGTATATTCGGCACGGTTCCCATCAGTTTTGATCATTTCTGAAGTCAAAATCGCCGAAATCCCGTTATTCCTATTCAAAGAGACGAGGTGAGGCAGCGCTCCTGCGTGCCTCACCCCAGACCGCTCCCTCACAGTGTGTGTGTGTGTGTCTGAGTGCACTCAGCTCGTGCAGTTGATATATCACCGTTTGTTTCAAATATCCTGCTTTAAAAACATTTTTTAAACTCCTCTTAGTGTTTAGTAGTGTATTGCACGTATGTGTGTACAATTTATATTTAGTTTAAGTCTTTTGATCGTAGATGAACACACAAGGAAAAAGCTTGGCGTGAGGCAGGCGGTATCTGTGCCTCACCGCTAGGGGTGATAGTGAGCATAAAGTTCATACCAGAGTTGCTAACAAACAATCAGCCCAAAATGCTATTTCTTTTGCTGGAAAATGGATGATTTGAATGAAGATTTTTTTTCTCAATTGGACTTTCAAACAAAGAAAGAATTAATATAGACTGGGAGACCACCACTGGACTTACGAGGTTAGTCCGGCTGCGGGGGAGGAGTTTGTTAATCTGTGTTTTATGTTGAACATTGACAGATACCGGCAAAGTAGTGCTTTTCCGAAAAACACTGATTCAAACACTGCTCAAGAGTTCTGCAACTTGTTTAAATTATTGTTTATGTTCCTCGCGTCTCTCTCTCCTCGCGTCTCTCTCTCCTCGCGTCTCCGTCTCTCTGCTCCTCTCTGTCTCTCTCTGCTCCTCTCTCCTCGCGTCTCTCTCTCCTCGCGTCTCTCTCTCCTCGCGTCTCTCTCTCCTCGCGTCTCCGTCTCTCTCTGCTCCTCGCGTCTCCGTCTCTCTGCTCCTCTCTGTCTCTCTCTGCTCCTCTCTCCTCGCGTCTCTCTCTCCTCGCGTCTCTCGCACCTGCGCTTCTTAAAGATGTTGTTTGATGCGGAGCAGAGTCAGCAGCTAATTTGTTGTGAGATTATTAAAAGAAGCTGGTTCTCTTATCTTTACAGTATATAAAGTTTGTGGATGTCATTGCATTGGTGATTAAATGCTATTTTATTTGAATAATGATTGTAAATCTGACTTTTAAAGTCAGTGCCTCCCCAATCACAAACCTCACCGCACGTCCCTGCTGGTCATACTCTGATTGTGGCGGTACGCTCAAGAGCTATTTTTGGAAGCACTGGATTGTAATAAAACATCCCCCCCTCAAATAAATTCCTGACGGAAACACAGAAAATACTGTGTGTTTGTGTGTCCTACCACAGGGGTGGGTGTTTGACCATTTGTTATTTTTTGTTGCAACGTGGACAAAAGAGACAGAAAAACACAGCGCTAATTTTTTTTAATTTAAAATGTGCAAAATATATTTATTTAGTTGGAACAGTGATGAACTCCACAGTGCAGTAAAATCAGATCAGTCAAATATCATTTAGAAAACAACACTTACTTAAAAATACAATATTTAAACAGGTACAAACACAATTACATTTTACAGAAGGACAAAAGGCACGAAGGTTCTGCTTAAAGTCACTGTCCACTGTCTGTGCAGTAGGGGCAACTAGGGGCCATTTTGAAAGGACTCTCTTTTGTCCCTCATGTGAGCCCATTGTTTGTTGTCCTCTGTTGTGAATTTAGAGTGTGTCCTCTGCTGTGGATCTAGAGTGTGTCCTCTGTTGTGAATTTAGAGTGTGTCCTCTGCTGTGGATCTAGAGTGTGTCCTCTGTTGTGGATCTAGAGTGTGTCCTCTGTTGTGAATTTAGAGTGTGTCCTCTGCTGTGGATCTAGAGTGTGTCCTCTGTTGTGGACCTAGAGTGTGTCCTCTGCTGTGGCTCTACGATGTGTGGACTGAAGTTGAGGACAAGATATTCTGACTAGTCCCTCATGTGACTCTATGGTTTCTACAGTTCGCCAGCAGGTTGGCCAGCAGGGGGCGCCAGGTTCAAGCAGACACACAGTAGTTGGGCCGGTGCGACAAGACGTAACCACGGCGACAAACGCAGCGGTACGAGCCGTCTGTGTTCACACAGCGAGCGTTTATGCATGGGAACTCAGGCCTCACGCTGCCATCACACTCGTCCACATCTGCAACACAAAGACCATGTGACCAGACCTCAATACCACTCTCTCTCTTGTCTCTCTCTACCTGGTCTCTCTCTTTGTTCTCTCTTTCTGGTCTAACTTTCTGTGTTCTCTCTCTGGCCTTTCACTCCGGTATCTCTCTGGTCTCTCACCTCTGCAAGTCATGTGGGTCAGATCCAGCTCGTATCCATGGTAACAGTCGCAGGTATAACCCTCAGCAATGCGGATGCAGCGACCATTCAGGCAGCCGTCGACGATTCCACAGTCCTCCTCCACGGCCTCTGAGCGTCCTGCGAGAGATCAGGCTTGATCAAACCACTAGAACTCTGGTCTCTCTTTTAACATTCAGTTGTCTTACTTCCCCCCTCCCCCCGCTCGGCCGCTCCGACCACTCACTAGTCTGCCTGTCTCCGGAATACACACCCATGGTGAGAAGGAATCCAGTGCAGAAGAGGTCTGTTAAAGTGTGGAATGATGATGCCGAGGAGAGGCTGAGAGATTGTTTCCAAAGCACAGACTGATCTGCAGCTGCATGATCTGCAGCTCTCATGGTGATGACATTGAAGGCCTGACACACTGTATTACAGACTATATGCGCATGCCAGAACTATTGGACATGTTTTTAGTGGTAGGGGAAACCGGAGTACCCGGAGGAAACCTACGCAGACACGGGGAGAACATGCAAACTCCACTCAGAAAGGCCCTGGTCCGACCGGGATTCGAACCCAGGACCTTCTTGCTGAGAGGCGAGAGTGCTATCCACTCAGCCACCATGCCGCCACCATGCCGCCATCTCTGGCAGAAGATATCGTTCTCTGAGATGCAGGACATCTTGTTATGCTAACAGCTTATTTCCACAAGCTGTCATCAGTGTGAACAGAGCACTTTAATGATTTGTACTTGTTTTGAAACTGTTTTAGTCGATCGATTTCACAGTGACATTTGTTTACTGTTTTATTCGTTTTATTTCCGTACTTTTAACGTTGTTTTATGTCTGTATTTGTCTGTGCACACTGGTGACTTTTGCTAATGTATTCCAATGTGGTTTTTTTTACTGCAAATGGCAAATAAACGGAATCTGAATCTAGCGCAAGGCCTTTATCCCCCACCGCGGTCAGACTGTACAACAAGTCACTGTATAAGACTGAAAAAACCTGCACTACTATTGACACTTTCTGATTGCCACTTTTTTTTATTGTACATAATATATCCTGCATTTAACATTTTTGCACATTTCCTCTCTTTTTGCACAGTCTTGAGTGTTTCCATCCATGCCAAATGTGACATGTAAATTTCTCCTTTGTGAGATAAATAAAGCATATCTTATCTTATCTTGTCTCTCTCTGGCATCTCTCTATGGTCTCTCTCTAGTTTCTCTCTCTAGTGTCTTTCTAGCCTCTCTATGTTCTCCATCCCCAGTTCCTCTCTCTCTCTGGTCTAACTTAGGTCTGGATTAGGCCTGCACAAAATTGGAAATTAGAGCGATATTCAACATAAATGTTTAGTATTATGTTAACAATGTTATATTATTGTGATAGCTTTGTCTTTCTCCTAAAAATGCAATCTGCATTGAACCGCAATAGAAAAATCTCTAACAAAATTAAGCACAACATTAATTTCATTCAAATGCAGTATAACCTCATATCTTGCTTAAAGTTGCCAATTCCATACACAGTATTAACGTAGAGTGTGCACTTAGCTATGCTGTATGTAGCGTAATGGCTGCAGTTAAAGCTTTGTGTCACTTTCGAAGGAGCTTCAGAAGCAAAATTGTCATTAATGCTCGTTTGCGCATTTGCCTTTCGTTTGACTGGTGTAGGCTGTTGTGTTTGAGATTGTAACACTCAGCATAAAGTACCTTGTGGTTGTGCTGGAGGTGGCTCTGGAGATTTGTCATGTTTCCCTTCGAAGTAGCGACTATGTTTTGGTATGACTTGCTAATAACTTGTTTCTGTGATTGGTCCTGTCTTGTAAATCCGAAGTAGTCCCAAATTCTGGAGCTAAAGTGTCTTCAGCTCTGCATTCGTCTGCACTTGTCTCTTCATCATCCGTCATGCTTAGTTTAGGAAGATTCATCTTGTATTCTTAGTAGAATTAAAAGTATTGGTTTTTCTATACCAGACAATATAAGGTTTTGTGACGTTATTACCTTGACATGTTTCGATATACTTCCGTCTTCCTCAGAAGCATCTTGCAACGTCATACATGACATGCCTTTATCAGCTGCTGTTCCCAGGCCAGTCAACCCAGCCAACCTATGTGGTTTACCGGGCTGACTGCGCCCTCTGCTGGCCAGTGGTGGTCGCTGGAAGTCAATCCCCATATACGGGAGAGATGGTATGCGCGCTCGTCGCGATTCATGTCTGCGCCACGTTTCCTGATTCCTATGGCTTTTTTGATACAACTTTTATATTTGTTGGGTTCCTGATCAGGAAACATGTCAAGGTAATAACATCACAAAAACCTTATATTTTGTGGTATAGAAGATTACTTTCTTTTAATCCGCCATGCTTGTTTTGTTTCTTTGCTTGCTCCACTCTTGCATATGGCGGCCTCGTATGCTCCACTCTAGTGTGTGGCAGCTCAAGGTCCCAGCAGATTCGTCAAAGTGTGCGTTCAAGAAACCAGTATTTCAATGACGATATTTTTCTATTTACTGTATCGTGCAGCCCTAGTCTGGATCATTACTCACTGTCATAGACTCTTCTGGGCTCGGGTCGATTGAATGGGGGTAGTCCTCTCCACTCATCCTGGTCTCCGGTTCCAGTGTAGACCTGGTCTCTGGTCCCGGTGTAGGCTTGGTCTCTAGTACCAGTGTAGACCTGGTCTCTGGTCCCGGTGTAGAACTGGTCTGAGGACAGAGAAGACGGCACTTCGAAGGCCTCCTCAGATCTGGGGTCAGGAGGTACAAGGAAGGGCGCTGAGTCTGGACTGAACCTGGACTGGTCTGGACCGAACCTGAAGATGAGGACATCACGGTTATTAGCGGATCAAGCAGATCTAGAGTGTCCTCTGTTGTGAGTTAGGGGTGGGCGATATACAAGTATATCGTAGACGATAATATTGCAAAAGTGAATTTGAAGATTCACTTTTTTCAAGAGAGCTCAGATACAACCTCAGACATTACCCTGGTCCTCACAGTTCGTCGTGGAAATAACGATGAACAGTAAGTAAGTAAGTAAGTTTTTATTTATATACCGCCTTTTCACTGCAGATCTGAGTCTCAAAGCGGTTTACAATTGTTAATTTTGGGCATTTGTCTCTCACTCCACACAGAGATGGGAGCGGGGCCAGTACAGGAGGCACATGCCAGAACTATTGGACATATTTTTAGTGGTAGGGGAAACCGGAGTACCCGGAGGAAACCTACGCAGACACGGGGAGAACATGCAAACTCCACTCAGAAAGGCCCTGGTCCGACCGGGATTCGAACCCAGGACCTTCTTGCTGAGAGGCGAGAGTGCTATCCACTCAGCCACCGTGCCGCCCAAGCCACCGTGCCGCCCGGTGAACAATGACTTATAACACAATAACTAGAATATATGTGAGAAGATTTAGATTGTACAGTCTGCTTTTAGTTTTGTTACACATGTTGATTTGATATGACCTTTGGCATTAAAAATGTATTGAACAGTTTATTCTTTCTGTTGCCTCAGTTACTACAACTGTATACCACACAAGAATACTGCAGTATCTATAAAAGTCAGCGAAGTAAAGACTGCACACTGTCAGCTGTGTCTGCAGCCGCAGATTCGACACAGGCTAATTCAAATGCTAACGCATTTCTTCCGTTCCTTGTTAGGCAATTTCCTAAAAATCGGCACCTCGAAGTTCTCCACTTGAGTTGCCACAACTGCACACGCCACAGACAAAAAGCATTTTAACTCTGAATCAGTGTTTTTTTTTTTTTTTTCTTAATACGGAGATTTACTTCCTGTTCCTTTGAGCTCTTTTGTGCCGCTGCGTGACGTCAGCTGCAACGCAGCAATAGATTAGCTGACTCTCGCCAGACCCTTACTGCTAATTTACACATCACGCGTTACAGCACGAACACGTTACACGCGCAGCAGACTCGCGTAACTTTTTTCCATGTTAACCTATGATGATATTTACACTTCTAGCGTTATACGCGCTTCTGACGGACGTATGACGCGAAGCTGCGCTCTAATTTAGGATGGATTTCTAATTTTGTGCGCGCACCAACGCGTCTCCCATTGAAATCTCATGTAAAACATGATTTTTCTAGCGGTCCTTGGCTCTAGATCGCAGTATACGCACACACAGCACTTGTAGCTTGAGCAGCAGGTTTTACAGTGATTCTGGACATCGTTTTTTTTCTTTCATAAAGTCTGGCGTCTGGCCAAACCAGCGCACAGAGACCATGAGTACAAACACATGCATGTGATTTGTGTTGCTCTACATCAGTCCTATGTACTGTCCTCTACACTTCTCCATAGACTACACAAGGAGAGCATCAGAAGACGCGGACCTGCGCGCACGGCCAGTGTAGATACTCCAAAAAAATGTTACGCGCAGAGAGCGTGCAGTAAACGCGTACGCGCTGTTTACGCCTACTGTGTAAATTCCCTGTGACGCGCAGCAGACGCGCGTAACTTTTTTCCATGTTAACCTATGATGATACTTACAGGGTAAAGACGTTTTCCAGAGGTCTGCCAACGCTATATGTTAGCATTGGCTAATTCTTCTTCTGGGTCCACCCCCATCGGCCCGGGGTGGTACTGCAGCATGTCAGCGCACGTCATTTTGGCCACTTTTGAGCTGGGACCCGCCCCCACTGTGTGAGACACGCTTGAGAAGGCGGTGCAATACCCGACGTAACACCGGCAATCCTGATTGGTCGATTATTTTCTAATCTGCTGAAGAAGTTTGGTATGCGCTTGATCCCAGACCCTTGTGCATGACGCGAAACGCCTCTGATGGAGCATGGCGGAACTACAAGGGTCTGGCAAGAGCCAGGCTGACAATAGATACACTGGCAAGCAAACATTGCAGCTCATTTTGTGAAAAAATTTGATTTTAAAGTAGTACTAGAATTTAATATGCTGCTATCCAGAATATATAACTACAATATGTGTTTATAATATTTCGGGTGTTCATGTTTGACCTAATTCATCCGATGAATTATGTTTTAAAAAACGGCTTTGAAGTGGCACCTTTTAAAAAACGCTAGGGGGAGCCAAAATGGCGGCAATGACGTAGGAGAAGGGCATCTCACAGCAGCAGCAGCAGTCTGGGCTGAATCTGTAGGAGGTTTCACTGTCCTCTGAACAAGGTATTACAATGTACATTGTAATATCCAAAAATGCTAACACCTATTAACGGTTAAGCGAGCATTTTTATCAATGATTGCATCACATGTAGTTATCATTTTAGCTCTTGTGTCCATGTTTTCAACTTCTTCAGTTTTTTGTTCATAAAAGTAAAATATTTAATTCAAGTTATTTTGATTAGCATTTTTTAATGTTACAATGTACATTGTAGTAAATGCAGTGCCTTGTGAAAGTATTCGGCCCCCTTGAACCTTTCAACATTTTGCCACATTTCAGGCTTCAAACATAAAGATATAAAATTTTAATTTTTTGTCATGAATCAACAACAAGTGGGACACAATCGTGAAGTGGAACGAAATTTATTGGATAATTTAAACTTTTTTAACAAATAAAAAACTGAAAAGTGGGGCGTGCAATATTATTCGGCCCCTTTACTTTCAGTGCAGCAAACTCACTCCAGAAGTTCAGTGAGGATCTTTGAAGGATCCAATGTTGTCCTAAATGACTGATGATGATAAATAGAACGCACCTGTGTGTAATCAAGTCTCCGTATAAATGCACCTGCTCTTTGATAGTCTCAGGGTTCTGTTTAAAGCGCAGAGAGAACCATGAAGACAAAGGAACACACCAGGCAGGTCCGAGATACTGTTGTGGAGAAGTTTAAAACCGGATTTGGATACAAAAAGATTTCCCAAGCTTTAAACATCTCAAGGAGCACTGTGCAAGCAATTATGTTGAAATGGAAGGAGTATCAGACCACTGCAAATCTACCAAGACCCGGCCGTCCCTCCAAACTTTCATCTCAAACAAGGAAAAGACTGATCAGAGATGCAGTCAAGAGGCCCATGATCACTCTGGATGGAAACTACAGCTGAGGTGGGAGAGTCTGTCCATAGGACAATAATCAGTCGTGCACTGCACAAATCTGGCCTTTATGGAAGAGTGGCAAGAAGAAAGCCATTTCTCAAAGATATCCATAAAAAGTCTCGTTTAAAGTTTGCCACAAGCCACCTGGGAGACACACCAAACATGTGGAAGAAGGTGCTCTGGTCAGATGAAACCAAAATCGAACTTTTTGGCCACAATGCAAAACAATATGTTTGGCGTAAAAGCAACACAGCTCATCACCCTGAACGCACCATCCCCACTGTCAAACATGGTGGTGGCAGCATCATGGTTTGGGCCTGCTTTTCTTCAGCAGGGACAGGGAAGATGGCTAAAATTGATGGGAAGATGGATGGAGCCAAATACAGGACCATTCTGGAAGAAAACCTGTTGGAGTCTGCAAAAGACCTGAGACTGGGACGGAGATTTATCTTCCAACAGGACAATGATCTAAAACATAAAGCCAAATCTACAATGGAATGGTTCACAAATAGACGTATCCAGGTGTTAGAATGGCCAAGTCAAAGACCAATCGAGAATCTGTGGAAAGAGCTGAAGACTGCTGTTCACAAACGCTCTCCATCAAACCTCACTGAGCTCGAGCTGTTTTGCAAGGAAGAATGGGCAAGAATTCCAGTCTCTCGATGTGCAAAACTGATAGACATACCCCAAGCGACTTGCAGCTGTAATTGCAGCAAAAGGTGGCGCTACAAAGTATTAGCGCAAGGGGGCCGAATAATATTGCAAGCCCCACTTTTCAGTTTTGTATTTGTTAAAAAAGTTTAAATTATCCAATAAATTTTGTTCCACTTCACGATTATATCCCACTTGCTGTTGATTCTTTACAAAAAATTAAATTTTTATATCTTTGTTTGAAGCCTGAAATGTGGCGAAATGTTGAAAGGTTCAAGGAAGAAGAATACTTTCGCAAGGCACTGTAAATCTAAGGCAACCAAAGTGAGACTGGCATAATGTAAAAACGAATATTAGCTAATTAGCTTGAATCTCACAAATAAGGCTAAAAGGTTAAAAGAGTTGCACACTGTTATGTACAAAACTGATGAAAATACAGTTTCCAGCTAAGACTGCTGCTGCTGTGAGAGGTCATTCTCCTACGTCATCGCCGCCATTTTGGCCCCCCCTAGCGTTTCTATGTGGAAGTGAAAAGGTGCCACTTCAAAGCCGTTTTTTTAACATAATTCATCTTAACATGTCAAAATGAACACCCGAAATATTACAAACACATATTGTAGTTATATATTCTGGATAGCAGCATATTCTTATTCTTAATATTGTGGCAATATTGTTATCGGGAGTTGGGAAAAAAATATTGAGATATTTATTTTTGCCCATATCACCCACCTCTATTATGAGCCTAGTGTGTCCTTTGTTGTGGATTGATCCGCTTAACACTGGTTACAAAGATAATTCAAATGTTATTGTGGAAGTTCCAGTATGTATGAAAAGTGAAATGCAATTAAAATTTGACATGTGAATGTTTTGACCTGATCTGTCTTAATAATTGTGCTAAATAATTAAGTTGTAAAGTTTATTTCTCACAATAACTAGTCTCTCTAAAAAGTGAATTTTACCTGGAGCCATCTGGACTGAAGCGAGGATGGTCTGGAGTGTAGCGAGACTGGTCTGGACTGAAGCGAGACTGGTCCGGATTGAAGCGAGACTGGTCCAGACTAAAGCGTGACTGGTCCGGACTGTAGGGAATATTGGGGTCGTAGTTTGGTTCTGGGAAGAATCCACTGAAAACATGAACAAATATTGATAATGATATTACTAATAGTTGGTTACTTGGTCTATGGTTTAGCCACACGCTTTGTTCACATGTTCCTCACCCGTACAGAGAACCATATCCGCGGTCGTATCTGTCTTCTCTGCCCCCTACAGGTGGAGAGTCATCATAGTCCAGTGCAGGAGGAAAAGGCTCCAATGCGAAAGGCGGGAAGTACGGCTCTGGGGAAGACATTCAGTGTGACGCACAACACACAGAGTACACATTTAAGGCCCAATATGCTCTTGTTCCTTTTAACCCTGGATCACTTCAGAAGATGTCAGATGGGGATCACCTTGGGGGCTTCCTCTGGCAGGTCCTGATCCAGGTCTGGTCCCGGGTCTGGTCTCTGGGTACAGTGGAGAGTGCACAGAGCTGCACAGACGGGCGTAGTCCTCTGTGGAAACACAACCAGCACAACATGTGTTAAAACTGTTCAGAAAGACTACAGTAAAGTAGAAGAAGTAACAGTAGTAGTAGTAGCAGTAGCTGTGGTTGCAGTAATTGCAGTACCCACCAGTGTCCTGCAGGGGGCACAGTGCACACTCCAGGCCCCAGCCTTCTCCGTACAAACAGCAGCAGTCAGTGAAGCTGAGCTGAGATCCGAGCAGCAGCGACTGACACAGCAGGTCTGCATTCACCTGCTGCCAGCAGAGGGAGACATTGTCATCTGTGGAGAGAAAGGAAATAATAATAACAATGCATCAGTTTTATACAGCGCTTTTTTGGACACTCTAAGACGCTTCACATGTCTTTATTTCTCAGCTTCGTTTGGGGATGCAGACTCAATATACTCAAACGATAAAGGCCGAGCGCTACTCCTTTAAGCCCTGGGATACATTGGTGTGAACAAGCCTAATATTGTGTACAGTCATTATCATCACATAGTTAAGTTGTTACTAGTGACAAAGTAAGTGCATTTACTATAACACATAATGATAATGAATAATACAATCTGAAATATTAAGTATATTTTTTGTTCATTTCTAAATCCTTATGCGAGCTACCTGGAAGAGGGTGGAGAGCTTCTGGTGGCTCTCGAGCTACAGGTTGGAGACCCCTGACCTAGACCATGTTGGGAGGACAGTACCTAGACCCTGTTGGGAGGCGTTGACACAAGTGCGGTGAGTGTCGTCCAGGACCAGGGGGTGGGGGCAGCTGCAGTAGAAAGACCCCTGGGTGTTGACACATAGACCTCCGGAGCAGCTCTCCTCCTCGCACTCGTCGTGGTCTAAGGAACACAAGAGACAGAGGATCTTGTGTGTTTGGAGGGTTCTCACGGTTGCCAGGAATACTTATTTTCGAAAAGCACACCACAAACATCAGCACGTTTTTGGTTTGTAATTTTATACAGTGTGCTTCTCATGCTCCAAAACATCTCACTGTTCTCTGGTCCTTACCCTCACACTGCAGTCTGCTGAGGTTGAAGACATATCCGCTGGGACAGTAGCAGCTGAATCCTGGGATGTTGTTCACACAGACTCCACTTTTACACACGTCTGAACCAAACAGTTTACACTCGTCCACATCTGTGGAAACAAGAGGAACCAGGTCTGGACCAGGTCTGGACCGGGCCTGGAGTGGGTCTGGGCCAGATTTGAACTAGGATTGGTGTTTATATGTGATATTGTCTTTGTAAATCCAGATCAGAATAAGAATCATAATCATTTTTATTACCATCTAAGTAACAAAAAGTCACAGATTAGGAAATTGCTATCGGTGCAAACAAGTCAAAAGTAGAGAATAGAAGCTAAATATAAATCTACATACATTTCTGAAGCAGTACGTGGGTGCCCCTCCAGCTCTAAGCTAGTAATACCCTATCCAGATATTAAAATAGATCCATGATCTGCCTCTCTTACAGCGTGAAGCTAACGCCACACTCTGTCCTCTCACCAGTGTAGTCAAAGGCCCCTGGTCCCGTGGTCACGTATCCTCGTCCGTTTGGACACAGACGCTGGAACTCCTCTGAAACACAAACATGAGTGTCTTCCAAGACCTCCTATAGAGCCTCTGGTTGGGCGTGGCTTCACCTGTGTGTGGGAGTGACTACACCTGTGTAAGCGTGACTACACCTGCGTGTGGGTGTGGCTTCACCTGTGTGGGTGTGGTCTCACTTGTTTGTAGGTGTTATCTCACATGTGTGTGGGCATGACCTCACCTGTGTAGGTGTGGCTTCTCCTGTGTGTTACTGTGGTCGCACCTCTGTGTGGGCGTGGCCTCACCGGTGTGGGTGTGGTCTCACCTGTTTGTGGGCGGGGACAGATGTTGTAGACGCAGCCCTGCCCCCAGCCCCTCCCCTCTGTGCAGCAGCACTCCTGCAGACTGCAGTTCTGAGACAGAACACTGCACTCTCCACTGTCCAGGTCATAGTAACACTCTCTCAGCTCCCCAGGGAGGGAGGGGGAGAGGGGCGTGACTGATGGGGAGAGAGGCAGGAAGGAGCCAGCTGGGGAGAGAGAGGAGCCAGCAATTGAGGTAGAGGAGCCAGTGATTGAGGTGGAGGAGCCAAAGGAAGAAGGGAAGGAGTCAGAGGAAGAGGATCCTGAGGAAGACTGAGAGGTACCAGAGTTAGGGTAGGAGGAGCCAGAGGAAGAGGGGGAGGAGCCTGAGGAAGACTGAGAGGCGCCAGAGGTAGGGTGGGAGGAGCCAGAAGAAGAGGGAGAGGCGCTGGATGAAGAGTGGGAGGAGCCAGAGGGAGAGCGGGAAGAGCCAGAGGAAGAAGGCAAGGAGCCTGAGGTAGAGTGGGAGGAGCCTGAGGCAGATGGGGAGGAGCCAGAGGTAGATTGGGAGGAGCCAAATGAAGAGTGGGAGGAGCCTGAGGTAGAGGGGGAGGAGTCAGATGAAGAGAAGGAGGAGCCTGATAAAGAGTGGGAGGGGCTGGAGGACGAGGGCGAGGAGCCTGATGATGAGGGGGAGAAGCCTGAGGAAGGACCTGAAGACACAAATAAACCCATGAACATGTGTAAGTGGCAGCAGCAGTAGTAGGAACAGTAGCAGCTACAGCAGTAGTAGCAGCAGCAATAGCGGGAGCAGTTGCAGCAGCAGCATCTCAGACACTGTTTTTTACTGGTTTTCTTCCTACCTCTCTGACCGTCATCATCATGTTTCCATCAACAACTGCACGTCCCACACCTCACCTGTCTCCACTGGTGTTCCCCAAAGTTTGGTACTCGGCCCCCTCCTTTTCATTATATACATTCTTCGGCCACATCATTTGTCACTACGGACTCCACTTTCACTGCTACGCCGACAACACCCAGGTCTTCATATCTACCAAATCCATCTCCCCAATCTTCTTCTCCACCAGCACACACTGCATCACCGACATAAAATTCTTGATGGACCACTATTTTCATAACCTCTCATCATCGGAGAGAGTCACTCCTTCAAGTCACTCCTTCCTTCTGCTCAAAACATCTCCGTCAACACTGACGGCGACACAGTCACCAACTCCCAATCTGTGCGCCACATCGGCCTCATTATGGACTCCACCCTCTCATTTAAACCTCAACCTCATCTCCAAAATATAGTTTTTCTATCGCCCGCCTCCTCCCCTCTCTATTACAATCCACTGCAGAAATTCTACGCCTTCATCACCTCCAGACTCGACTAGGAGGCTGTTAAACAATACATCTCACATGCTCACCCACACCTGCTCCAGAGACCACATCACCCCTGTCCTCAAACAACTCCACTGGCCCCCCTCTTCCATACCGCATAAAATACAAGTTCTTCACTGACTTCTTCCATCATTACTGTCCCTACCGCCGCCTCAGATCCACAAACTCAGTTCTCCTCACTCCCTTCAGGACTAAATACTGAACCTTGGGGGACCAAGCCTTTGCAGCAGCTGCCCCCACTCTCTGGAACTCACTCCCACAACCGATCAGAAATACCGACTCACTACAGAACTTTAAATCACTTCTCAAAACCCACCTGTTTCACCTTGCCTTTCCTTAATTTTGCTCATCTATGTTTATTTTATATGTTTTGTAAAGCGTCTTTGAGTGTCAAAAAATAGCTATATAAGCAGGGGTGCACATGACTTTTTCAGTGAGGTACTCCGATGAGTACCAGGACATGGTGTTTGGTACTCATTTGTCGCGCGGTTCTTAGAGATTTTCTACTTGCTTCTTTTTAAAGCTGAAATTCAACGTCTACAGAATGATTGATATCTCCGCCTCTGTAGCAGATAGAAACATAATTTCAAAAGAATTTGAGAGCTGACACTTGTCAATAAAAATGCAGAGTATTATTATAATCCTTCAGTGGAATAATAAAAAAATATACAACTTCCACACAGGAAAGGTAATAAAACAACCAATAATAATGTGGGACTAACAAATGTTTCTCAATACAATAAATCAAAAAAAAGTTTGGCCTTTAAGTGGCACTAACTATGTGGTAAAAAATATAGAAAAAAATCCACTCTTGGCCCAAAAAGTCAAATAATGACTCACAGGGCTCTTTCTTAAGTAAGTAAAATAAAAAAAAACAAGACTGTTTTGGTTTGTTCTGTTTGATTTGGTCACATTTTACTTCTGTGCACAAATAACATGCATTTTCAATGCAAGCGAAAATTTAGGTACCTGAGCTTTTTCTGTGAGTTTTGGCTGCGCTTTGCGTGGAGACATGGGGGAGACGTGGGAGAGGCATGGGGGAGAGACGGGGAAGAGACGGAGGAGAGACGGGGGAGAGGCATGGGGGAGAGACAGGGAAGAGACGGAATGTGCACGTAACGCGCGCGTGTCTATGGTTCTGTAGGCGCGTCTATGGTCCGCGCTCGGTAAATGACCATACGCGTTCACTGAGCTGTCAGAGCGGCCACAATTTCTCCCGGGGTCAGAGCGGAGGATGTTATTGCACCACGCCCCCCTAGGGAGGAGCCCCACTATTTGAGAAGGACTGGTTTATGTGAAGTACGCAAAACCGCTTACTAATTCAACTGATGGTACGCATTTCTGATATTTGTCACGCATGCGTACCTGCGTACCACTTATGTGCACCCCTGTATACAGTGCCTTTAGAAATTATTCGGCCCCCTTGAACCTTTCAACATTTCGCCACATTTCAGGCTTCAAACATAAAGATATAAAATTTTATTTTTTTGTCATGAATCAACAACAAGTGGGACACAATCGTGAAGTGGAACTAAATTTATTGAATAATTTAAACTTTTTTAACAAATAGAAAACTGAAAAGTGGGGCGTGCAATATTATTCGGCCCTTTTACTTTCAGTGCAGCAAACTCACTCCAGAAGTTCAGTGAGGATCTTTGAAGGATCCAATGTTGTCCTAAATGACTGATGATGATAAATAGAATGCACCTGTGTGTAATCAAGTCTCCGTATAAATGCACCTGCTCTTTGATAGTCTCAGGGTTCTGTTTAAAGCGCAGAGAGAACCATGAAAACAAAGGAACACACCAGGCAGGTCCGAGATACTTTTGTGGAGAAGTTTAAAGCCGGATTTGGATACAAATCTTGGGATTTCCCAAGATTTAAACGTCTCAAGGAGCACTGTGCAAGCAATTATATCTAAATGGATGAGTATCAGACCACTGCAAATCTACCAAGACCCGGCCGTCCCTCCAAACTTTCATCTCAAACAAGGAGAAGACTGATCAGAGATGCAGACAAGAGGCCCATGATCACTCTGGATGAACTGCAGATAACTACAGCTGAGGTGGGAGAGTCTGTCCATAGGACAACAATCAGTCGTGCACTGCACAAATCTGGCCTTTATGGAAGAGTGGCAAGAAGAAAGCCATTTCTCAAAGATATCCATAAAAAGTCTCGTTTAAAGTTTGCCACAAGCCACCTGGGAGACACACCAAACATGTGGAAGAAGGTGCTCTGGTCAGATGAAACCAAAATCGAACTTTTTGGCCACAATGCAAAACAATATGTTTGGCGTAAAAGCAACACAGCTCATCACCCTGAACACACCATCCCCACTGTCAAACATGGTGGTGGCAGCATCATGCTTTGGGCCTGCTTTTCTTCAGCAGGGACAGGGAAGATGGCTAAAACTGATGGGAAGATGGATGGAGCCAAATACAGGACCATTCTGGAAGAAAACCTGTTGGAGTCTGCAAAAGACCTGAGACTGGGACGGAGATTTATCTTCCAACAGGACAATGATCCAAAACATAAAGCCAAATCTACAATGGAATGGTTCACAAATAGACGTATCCAGGTGTTAGAATGGCCAAGTCAAAGTCCAGACCTGAATCCAATCGAATCTGTGGAAAGAGCTGAAGACTGCTGTTCACAAACGCTCTCCATCCAACCTCACTGAGCTTGAGCTGTTTAGCAGGGAAGAATGGGCAAGAATTCCAGTCTCTCGATGTGCAAAACTGATAGAGACATACCCCAAGCGACTTGCAGCTGTAATTGCAGCAAAAGGTAGCGCTACAAAGTATTAGCGCAAGGGGGCCGAATAATATTGCACGCCCCACTTTTCAGTGTTATTTGTTAAAAAAGTTTAAATTATCCAATACATTTCGTTCCACTTCACGATTGTGTCCCACTTGCTGTTGATTCTTGACAAAAAATATAATTTTTATATCTTTATGTTTGAAGCTTGAAATGTGGCGAAATGTTGAAAGGTTCAAGGGGGCCGAATACTTTCGCAAGGCACTGTATAAGTTTGATGTATTATTAGCAGCAGCAGTGGCAGCAGCAGTAGTCCTCACCCACACACGCCCCCTGCTGGTCAGTTCTATATCCTTTGTCACATCGACAGTGAAATCCTCCGATCAGATTCTCACAGGAGGCGTGTTCCCCACAGGAGTCAGCACTGAGGCACTCGTCCACATCTGCAACAGGTTAGAGCTGACTCTACACATCTGCAACAGGTTAGAGCTGACTCTACACATCTGCAACAGGTTAGAGCTGACTCTACACATCTGCAACAGGTTAGAGCTGACTCTACACATCTGCAACAGGTTAGAGCTGACTCTACACATTTGCAACAGGTTAGAGCTGACTCTACACATTTGCAACAGGTTAGAGCTGACTCTACACATCTGCAACAGTTTAGAGCTGACTCTACACATCTGCAACAGTTTAGAGCTGACTCTACACATCTGCAACAGTTTAGAGCTGACTCTACACATCTGCAACAGGTTAGAGCTGACTCTACACATCTCTACACATCTGCAACAGTTTAGAGCTGACTCTACACATCTGCAACAAGTTAGAGCTGACTCACACTTTCTCTCTCACCCACACACACACACAGAATATATGGTGAGGCCCTGTGACAGGGCCGTGCCACATGGGACCCACCCTTTTTAAAGGACCCAGAAACTCCAAAGTGACCCCGACTCTGGGGTCAGAATGGATCCCAGTTTTACTTCTTAAAGTAAACGCTGTCAATTTTATCTTTGAAACCTCACATGTTCGAGACTTCCGGTCACGTGGGCGTCGACATGACGGCATAGAGAAAGAGCTCCTGTCTACAAGTTCATTTTTATACCCTAAAACTAACTCGAATTCGAGATTTTGTTGAGCTGTGTGCGTAGGGTACCATAACGGTGCAAAAATGCCCAACAAGCGTAAGGGGAGCGTCTCGCGGAGAACAGAACAGCGTGTAGTGGAGGAGGACGCTCTCTCGCAAGGTAGCAATGCTAGTAGCACTAGCAACATGGAAGACGAACCAAAGATAGGAAGTGGTGATGGTGCCAACTTTGATCTAATCCTAAAAGAGCTCCGTGAGTTCAGACGGGAGAACAAGGAGCAGTTCGACAATATAAGAGAGGACATAAACGGCATCGCCAAGAGGATGGACGAAGCGGAGGAACGAATAATGGAGGCGGAGACTAGCATACAGGCTTCGGAGGAGATGCTACTGGAGTTAGCAAAGCTCCAAACCCAAGTTGAAGCTAAGTTGACGGATCTGGAGGGGCGCTCACGGCGTGAGAACATCAGGATTCACGGAGTGGTTGAGGGGGCAGAAGAGGGAGCGACGTCTGTTATTAACTTTGTCGAGTCATTATTAAGGAAAGGCCTCGGAATCCCCCCGACCACCGCATTTAACATCGAACGGGCGCACCGTGCCCTGGGAGTAAAGCCACCCGTCGGGGCCCCTCCACGGTCCTTCGTGGTCAAGTTTGCAGGTTATCGCATAAAAGAGGACATTCTCAGGCGAGCATGGCAAGCGAGAGGCTTTGATTTTCAAGGCAAGAAGGTTTTTTTGGACAATGACTATGCCCCCGAAATACAAAAAAGGCGCAAGGAGTATACCGCAGCCAAAGCGGCTCTCAGGGAGAAGAACATACGCTTCCAGACGCCTTTCCCGGCCAGGCTGAGAGTGCATTACAGCGAAGGCATGGTTACGTACAACTCTGCACAGGAGGCGACCGAGGATATGGTGAAGAGAGGTTTGTCGGTAAACCTTGTCAAAGGCCACACTACGCTGTTGGAGCAGATAAAACAACGGATGTGGCAATCGTACGGTAAAAAAGTGAATAAAGGGGGCATGGCCCAGATGCCAAGTTTCAGAGAGAAGCTCCAGGCATTCCGACGCCAGAGTGACGACACGGCATAAGGTCTCAGACTGGTCTAAAAAAGTAAATCATTCTCCTGGTGACAATTACTGTTCTGTTTTCGGCTAAGATAATCTTGTTAATTGTTATGTGCTATTATGACAAAAGCATTGTGTGAAGGAGTAGTTCCCACTCCTCACCCACAGGTGTATCCTTCCTGTTTTATTTTGAAATATTTAGCTTTGTTTATGTAGCCCTGTGTAATATTATTACATACCATAATAGTTGCACCCCATAGTTTTATTTTATAACCACCGTTTTATTGTACATAATTTTGAAATGCAATGCTTGGTTCCGCCAGCAGAGGGCGCTTGGTGCTTTCACTAGTGGTTGCTGCCGGGGCAACGCTAGAAGTACAGTTAGTACTTAACGTGATGAGACTGCACCGAGTGAGCTCCTGCATTCAATGTCTGTTTTACGTGTTTTGCAGGTAGGCTGGTTTGTTAAAAACACACAGATGATGGCTAACAGTGGTGACATGTATTGTGTACAGCTTTGAGTGCCTTTGATTGAGCTAAAGGGGCAAAAGGGATACTTTGGGGTGATTGTATCAGTTGGGGTTGCCGCGAGTCAACAGTGTAACCGTTGGTAGTCGCGAGACAACGGCCACAAACGTATCTGAAACTGTATTTTTTTGTAAGAATTGTATATTTGATAGTGGTTAAAGATGGCTCAATGTTAACATGTTTCTTAAGAGTCAAACTGAATTTAGAGTTTATTTAAAATAAAACACGGGTCCTTTGTCAAGGTGAGATAGGTGGACTTGCATGACTAATGTGATAGGGCAGAGCGTATTCTCCATACAATGTGACTTCATACTGGTAATGACATGATTGTAAGCTGGGAAATATTAGAACAGTATCTATAATTAATAATATTGAGAGGAATGTGTTTTTTTTTTGTGTGTGTTTTGATCATATTGCAGATAGAGATTTCAGTACAGTATTTATGTGTGTAATTATACTTAAATGTATAGTAGAAGTACAGTTAGTACTTAACGTGATGAGACTGCACCGAGTGAGCTCCTGCATTCAATGTCTGTTTTACGTGTTTTGCAGAGCCTGAATTAAATTTTAAATGTGCTGCACATGAATGAGTTGGCCCATCATTCAAAGAAGTGTAACATATTTTGGCGAGCCAGCCAGGAGGAGGCGATAGTGAGTCACCGTCACGACCCTTCCTCCTTCCCAAGAGTCGAACCTTATTCTTCAAGCAACTATGGAGAAGATACAATTACTGCGTGACCAGTTGAGTGCAGCTTTATGGCAGCTGGAGCGAGACCTTCTCATCGATGTTTGTGGGCGACTGAAATGTTACGGCCTCAGCAGCGGAGAACTCATCAAGATGGCAGAGGACGTTTTTGATGAAGTCGAGAAAAAGGATAAAGATGATGAGGTAGAGCAGTTCTACATTGAATTGAGGACATACATTGGGAAACTGAATAAAAGTACAATTCAGTCAGATGTAAACAAGCAATCAGAACTCTTACCAGAAGAAGAACCGGTCAATGCCACTCCACCAAAGATTTCACCTCCACCACTCCGATTTCTCTCACAGCCAATAAACAACTTACAAGAGGTAACACTGAGAAGGGAGTTTAAGATAAGTGGGCAGATAGGGGAACATGGACAGAAAGAAAAGCTATCCTACCTTAGCCTTGTCCGCCAAATTGAGATGGGGATGGAAAAAGGACATCCAGAAACTGAAGTAGTTGAGGCAGTGATCAGAGCCATTAGCCCAGGCTTGCCTTTAAGAGATATGCTAGAGATTAAACGTGGACTGACCCTTAGTAAATTGCTCATCATACTAAAAGGCCACTACAGGGTAGACAGCTCCACCGAACTATACCATCAGCTTCTTAACATAACCCAAGAGCCTAAAGAGACTGCATTGAACTTTGTCTTTCGTGCTATTGAAATGAAAGAGAAACTATTGTGGAAAGGAGCAAACGAGGAAACTGATGAACTGTACAGTCGTGTCACCATTCAACGCAAGTTTCTACGCTCCATTGAAACAGGGCTGCTCAGTGATTCAATCAAGTACCAGTTGCTGCCTCTGCTCAGTGGTCTGGGCACGACAGATGAAGAACTAATTGAAAGAGTGAATGAAGTGTCAAAGCTTGAAAACGAGAGACTGGAGAAGCGTAAAAGAACAACTGCAGCCAAGATTCCCAAAGTACAGGAACTCCAAACAGAGTGCCAAGCGGACCCAATTCAGAGCCCCAAGCTAAGAGAATTTCAGACTACAGTGGATGTGAAAGCAGTTAAAGGTAGAGAGACTAAAAACGAATGTACAAACACACAGCAGATCATTGAGGAGTTGCGGAAAGAAATGAAGCAAATGTTCATGACTGCAATGGAAGTGAATCCCCGTCCATTAGGATCAAGGCAGAGGGAAAGAGGCTGTAGGAAATGCAGAGATGAGGGGCGCGGGGAAAACTGTGGACACTGTTTCAAATGTGGACAGGAAGGTCACTTCTCTCGTGGATGCAGAGCTCAAAGGCCCTCGGGAAATGGGGAGGGACTACTGAGACGGGACCAGCAGTAGTTCAAAACCCAGTGTCCCAAAGTGAGCAACGCCAAGGTGAGCAACGAAGTCCTCTTCAAATTTCCACAGCAACAACAAACAGTGCTCAGTCAGCCATAAGTGAAGTTCACTACCTGCCTCCTCAGCGAAAGTCACAGTTAATAAGCCTTGTTGGTAACAGGTGTACAGTTAATTGTTATATGGATAACCACCCAGTTAAAGTGTTGTGGGATACCGGGGCACAGTCCAGCATAGTCAATGAAAACTGGCGGCAGAGATATCTTCCCCATACTGCTGTACGGCCCATTGCAGAGCTGTTGGACGGTGAGACCCTTACAGTATATGCTGCCAATGACACGCCCATTCCATATATTGGCTGGATTGAAGTCAGCTTCAGACTTGAGGGTGATGTATCCAGAGCAAGTGAGCTACAAGTGCCCATATTAGTGTGCAATGATCCAGCTGTGGCCAGTGATCCCATTATTGGTTATAATGTGATCGAGACTGTGATGAACAAAAGTGAAGTAAAGACTAAAGGGGGACAAAAACAGCTTGCACATAGAGTTAGTAAAGCTTTTGAAATAACAGTTCAAGTTGCACACAACATTGTCAAGTTGGTACAAAACAGCAGAGTAGAGACTGGTGTATTACGTATCGGTGTCAGAACCATCAAATTACCAGCTAACAAAGTCACCATAGTCTATATGCGGGCACATGTTAGTCCAGGGGCCAGAGGTCAAGATATGTTGTTTACACCTGACCCACCACCAGAGGGAGTTGTATACAATGATGCACTGGTTAAAATTCCTGATAAGAAAATGCCATATGTGCCCATTCCTGTAACAAACAGTACACATCACACCATGTATTTAGCCAGTCATGAAGTAATTGGACACTTAGAGTCAGTCAAGACAGTTTATTGTGCAAGCATTCCAACAGGAGAATCAAACGAAGAGAAACAGAGTACAGGGTTAAAATCACACCAGTTGAGTCACACAGACAAGCGAGAGATAGAAGAAACAGAGAGACCAAAGTCATGGGATCCACCCGTTGATCTTCAACACTTAACACAGACGCAACAAGAGACAGCAAGGAAAATGTTGAGGGAAGAATGTGAGGCGTTTTCATTTGATGACGATGATGTGGGCTGCATACCATCTCTAAGAATGCACATAACCCTACATGACCCCAGTCCAGTACAAAAGACCTACATGTCTGTCCCAAAGCCCCTTCACAATGAAGTCAAAGAGTATTTGCAAGACCTGCTCAACAAAGGATGGATCACGCCCTCAAGGTCGCCCTACTCATCGCCTGTGGTTTGTGTGCGCAAGAAAGATAGCACTCTCCGTCTTTGTTGTGACTTTAGGGAACTCAATAGAAAATCAGTCCCGGACCGCCACCCAATACCTCGGATTCAGGATATGTTGGATGCGTTAGGTGGGAGCTCATGGTTTTCAGTTTTAGACCAGGGAAAAGCGTACCACCAGGGTTTCCTAGATGAAGACAGCCGCCCGCTAACAGCTTTCATCACACCCTGGGGACTGTATGAATGGGTGCGCATTCCATTCGGCTTGAGCTCCGCACCTGCTGAGTTCCAGAGGAGCATGGAACATTGTTTGGCTGGTCTCAGAGACACTACTTGCCTCCCGTACCTGGATGACAATCTAGTACATAGTAACTGCTTTGAAGATCATGTTGAGCACATCCGTCTGGTCCTCCAGCGTTACAAAAAGCATGGTGTGAAATTAACCCCAAAGAAATGTGAGCTTTTCAGGTGCAGTGTCAAATTCCTCGGAAAGCTGGTGACGGGGGAAGGCTATACCATGGACCCGGCAGAGATGGCGCCAGTGAGGGCTCTGAAAGAAAAGACACCGGTAACAGTCGGAGAGGTACGTCAAATGCTGGGATTCCTCTCATACTACAGGCCCTTTATCCCCAACTTTTCCCGTGTGGCCCATCCGTTGTACAGCCTGCTCAGTACTCCAGCTCCTGTTAATGACACTCCAATCCGAGCAGAGAAGTCAAAAAAAGGGGTTATCAAAAAAAATAAAGGCCACTTACCATCACGCACTCCCACCCAATGGACTAGCTCACACCAGGAAGTGCTGAACCAACTTATAGACGCCCTTACCAAACCCCCAGTCCTCGGATATCCAGACTTCACCCAGCCTTTTGTGTTACACTGTGATGCCTCACAAGTTGGTTTAGGTGCTGTCTTGTACCAGAGACAACAGGGGAAGATGAGAGTGATAGCATTTGGCTCTCGCACCTTAAGCCCTGCAGAGAAAAAGTACTACCTACACTCTGGCAAGTTAGAATTTCTAGCGATGAAGTGGGCCATCTGTGAACGTTTCCGGGATTACCTGTACCATGCTGTATCATTTGTGGTATACACAGATAATAACCCTGGCTGATTTCAACTTCATAATACGCTATCGTCCAGGCAAGAATAACGCTGACGCTGATGGACTGTCTCGCATGCCATTAGACATTGGAAACTACATGAATACGTGTACAGCTGAAATCACACAAGAAGCTATAAGTGCATCCATGGAATCTGTGACAGTGGAACAGAGTGACCCCTGTCAGGGTGTGGGGGTAATCCAGGTCAGTGCTTTAACACTGATAAAGGACTCTAACACAAATACACCTCTCACCCCAAACCAGATTTGCAAAGCCCAAGAAGAAGATGACATTTTGGCCAGAGTCATTTGGCATAAGTCACAAGACAAGAGACCAAGTAGAGCCGAGGTAAAATCCGAGCCTCCTGCTGCCGCCTCACTGCTCAAGCAATGGTTAAAGCTTCACATTGATCCAGATGGAGTCCTACGCCGTAAAACATTGCACCGAGAGCAGATACTGCTTCCTAAAATCTTTCGTTCCCTGGTCTACAAAGAACTGCACCAAGATATGGGGCACTTGGGGGTAGAGAGGACACTCGATGCAATCAGGGAAAGGTTTTACTGGCCACAAATGAGTAAAGATGTAGAACATTTTGTGACAGAAGAATGCGAGTGCCTCAAGAAGAAAAAGCCAAGTAAACAGACACGTGCACCCTTAAAATCAATCCATACTTCATATCCATTCCAGCTGGTGTCCATAGACTTTGTCCACTTAGAAAAGTGCAAAAATGGCTATGAGTACATTTTAGTAGTTATGGGATCACTTCACGAGGTTTGCTCAAGCCTACGCTACAAGAAACAAAACAGCCAAAACAGTAGCTGACAAATTGTTCAATGACTTTGCGCTCAAGTTCGGATTCCCTACAAAGTTACATCACGATATGGGCAAAGAGTTTGAAAACAAGTTGATGGCAAGACTAAAAGAACTGTCAGGCATCCAAGGTTCTCACACCACGCCTTACCATCCACAGGGTAATGGACAGGTGGAGAGATTTAACCGCACACTGTTGTCCATGCTGCGCACCCTGGAGGACAAAGAGAAGGAAGATTGGAAAGAGTCACTTGCTAAAGTTGTTCATGCCTACAACTGCACCAAAAGTGAAGCAACAGGTTACGCTCCATATTATCTTGTTTTTGGTCGTTCCCCCCGTTTGCCTATTGACATGCTGTTCAACATAAAAAAAGAAGAGTCCCACGTTGACTATAATGACTATGTGATTAACTGGAAAGAGAGAATGCAAGAAGCATATGACATTGCAGCAAAAACAGCTGTTAAAGAAGCAGCTCGAGGAAAGTCATACTACGACAAGAAAGTTAAAGGTAGAGATCTTCGGCCAGGTGATCGGGTTCTACTCAGGAACCTTACACCCAGAGGTGGGCCCACAAAGATTCAGTCCTATTGGGAAGATCAAGTCTACACCATTCGAGAGAGGAAAGCTGAAGATAGCCCAGTGTATCAAATAAGTCCTGAGAATGGTAGAGGGAGAGACCGAGTTGTGCACAGAAATCTTCTTCTACCCTGTGACTTTCTTCCCTGTGAGAAAACACCAACAGCGACACCTGCTACAGCCAAGAGGAAGTCCCGACCCCCACGGCGAGAGCAGCAGCCGCCCGAGTCTGGAGACACATCCGACGACAACGATTGCTGTGGAACTTACCAGTGGCACCTCCGACCCGGTCCGGGAAGATGGCAGCAGCAGCAGGCTCCACTCAATCCACTGGCGGTGTCCTTCCAGCCTCATCAGGACCCAGCGCAACCAGAAGAGGATTTGCCACTACAGAGCGAAGAGTATTTGCCACTACAGAGCGAAGAGGATTTGCCACTACAGAGCGAAGAGTATTTGCCACTACAGAGCGAAGAGGATTTGCCACTACAGAGCGAAGAGGATTTGCCACTACAGAGCAAAGAGAACGTTCCAGTGCAATCCCTTGACTGGCCAGGGCGTGGTGAGTCCCCGACAGACAACGCTGCTGTCAGTGGAGGTATGACTGAGACACAGCGACCTCAACGACAGCGGCAGCCCCCAAAGGTACTGAGTTACAACACGCTAGGCCAGCCGACTCTAGTTCAGAGAGACAATAAGGTAAAGACTCAGGTTATTGCGACTGACTGTTTTTGGAGACCGTGGTCCGTCCAAGTGTATTAAGAGACTATATTTATAGAAATGCCAGGAGACATTTTATTTTGTGGGGGAGAGTGTAGCCCTGTGTAATATTATTACATACCATAATAGTTGCACCCCATAGTTTTATTTTATAACCACCGTTTTATTGTACATAATTTTGAAATGCAATGCTTGGTTCCGCCAGCAGAGGGCGCTTGGTGCTTTCACTAGTGGTTGCTGCCGGGGCAACGCTAGAAGTACAGTTAGTACTTAACGTGATGAGACTGCACCGAGTGAGCTCCTGCATTCAATGTCTGTTTTACGTGTTTTGCAGGTAGGCTGGTTTGTTAAAAACACACAGATGATGGCTAACAGTGGTGACATGTATTGTGTACAGCTTTGAGTGCCTTTGATTGAGCTAAAGGGGCAAAAGGGATACTTTGGGGTGATTGTATCAGTTGGGGTTGCCGCGAGTCAACAGTGTAACCGTTGGTAGTCGCGAGACAACGGCCACAAACGTATCTGAAACTGTATTTTTTTGTAAGAATTGTATATTTGATAGTGGTTAAAGATGGCTCAATGTTAACATGTTTCTTAAGAGTCAAACTGAATTTAGAGTTTATTTAAAATAAAACACGGGTCCTTTGTCAAGGTGAGATAGGTGGACTTGCATGACTAATGTGATAGGGCAGAGCGTATTCTCCATACAATGTGACTTCATACTGGTAATGACATGATTGTAAGCTGGGAAATATTAGAACAGTATCTATAATTAATAATATTGAGAGGAATGTGTTTTTTTTTTTGTGTGTTTTGATCATATTGCAGATAGAGATTTCAGTACAGTATTTATGTGTGTAATTATACTTAAATGTATAGTAGAAGTACAGTTAGTACTTAACGTGATGAGACTGCACCGAGTGAGCTCCTGCATTCAATGTCTGTTTTACGTGTTTTGCAGAGCCTGAATTAAATTTTAAATGTGCTGCACATGAATGAGTTGGCCCATCATTCAAAGAAGTGTAACATATTTTGGCGAGCCAGCCAGGAGTCACATTGTATGGAGAATACGCTCTGCCCTATCACATTAGTCATGCAAGTCCACCTATCTCACCTTGACAAAGGACCCGTGTTTTATTTTAAATAAACTCTAAATTCAGTTTGACTCTTAAGAAACATGTTAACATTGAGCCATCTTTAACCACTATCAAATATACAATTCTTACAAAAAAATACAGTTTCAGATACGTTTGTGGCCGTTGTCTCGCGACTACCAACGGTTACACTGTTGACTCGCGGCAACCCCAACTGATACAATCACCCCAAAGTATCCCTTTTGCCCCTTTAGCTCAATCAAAGGCACTCAAAGCTGTACACAATACATGTCACCACTGTTAGCCATCATCTGTGTGTTTTTAACAAACCAGCCTACCTGCAAAACACGTAAAACAGACATTGAATGCAGGAGCTCACTCGGTGCAGTCTCATCACGTTAAGTACTAACTGTACTTCTAGCGTTGCCCCGGCAGCAACCACTAGTGAAAGCACCAAGCGCCCTCTGCTGGCGGAACCAAGCATTGCATTTCAAAATTATGTACAATAAAACGGTGGTTATAAAATAAAACTATGGGGTGCAACTATTATGGTATGTAATAATATTACACAGGGCTACACTTATATTCCCTGTCCCTAACTTTCCTTTTTCCCCTCTTGGAAGGTGATTGGTGGAGGAGCTGGCTGGAGGCGCGCCCATCCCAGTGCATGCCAGGTGCACCCAACTGAGCAATCAGCTGGGCTCCACCATGATCCTCCAAGAGAGGGGTGTTTCATTGGGACTAAACATAATATATACATACCTCAAATACCACGCCTGTTAACAAACACCACCACTAAGTTCAAATTACTATAAATTATGATTATAATATCTGCATAAATTAAAGATGTAAATAGTTATAAATATTTTGTAAATAGGGTAGGGCTACATTGTTGTGTCCCTGGGCGGGGGGTGGTTTTGGTTTGGGCCACTGTATAAAAAGAGGAGGATTCCATTTGAACGGTGTGTTCCTGTTGTGTGCCTGGGGGGATGCTGCCCAAATAAATAAGACATCTTTTGTGCAAATCTGCAACATTTGGACCTCTGTTTGTTTCCTGTCCTGGTGAGAGGCTGTCCCAGTAGCTTAAACGCTACACGTGGTGTCAGAAGTGGGATCGTCGTGCCAATCTGCTGAGACTCACAGGACGAGGATGGGGCCGAAAAAGGTACCAAAACCCGCAGAACCGGAAATCACCCCAGATAGTGATTCCGAAGGGGGCGGAGCTGCTGGAGGAGAGCCCGCCAAGGCAGAGACACTTATGGGTGCAGACTCCGAAACCCTAGTTTGCATGTTGCGAAAATGTCTTACGTTCCAGTCTGACCTGAGCAAGCGTTGGAATGAAGAAACGCAGAAGCAGGAGGAACGATGGCAGGAGATGGAGGTACAGGTTCACCGACTCAGAGAGGGCCTGACCGAAGTTGCGAGGCGTGGTCCTCAACACCCCCATGTACATCAACAGGAAGAAGTGGAGCCCCAATCTCCCACGCTACGGGGAGAGGCTGGGCCCAGTCAGTGATTCCAAAGCTAGAGGACGGTGATGATATTGAGCAATATCTCACCACGTTTGAACGCCTAGCGACCGCATATCAATGGCCAGTGGTCGAGTGGGCAGTGAGGCTCGTCCCTTATCTGACGGGAAGGGCCCGGGCAGCCTATGTGGCCATGGATTGTGAGGAATCCTGCAACTACAAGAAGGTGAAGGAGGCAGTTTTGATAAAGTACGAGATAAATGAAGAGGTCTATCGCCAGCGCTTCCGTGAGCCAGACCTGCAGCCGGGGGAAACTCCAAGAGAGTTTTATAATCGCCTCAAAGACTTATATTTGAAGTGGATGCAGCCGGAGAAAAAGACGAAGGAGCAACTTGGTGAAGCCCTTGTTTTGGAACAGTTCTATCGTTCACTATCACCAGAGCTGAGGGTCTGGGTGAAGGAGCGCAATCCCACCTCTGGGCGTGAAGCCGCGGAGTTGGTGGAGAACTTTCTATCTGCCAGGCGTGGACCAAAGACCTTCAGGCTTGAACGGATGTCCAGGGGCAGCGCATCGGAGGGTAAGTCTGTGGGCTCTGGTGGGGGTGTTGGTCCGGTTCAGCGGGGAGGGTCCAGTAGACCTAAGGGTCAAAGTGCAAGGGCATTTCCCTAGCTCAGCCCCTTGTGTGTTACGCTTGTGGTCAGGAAGGGCATATAAAGCCTAATTGTCCATCAAGGAACGCTAAGTCAGCTTATTGGTGTACTGTCCCTCGACCAGAAAGAGAGGAGGTTCAGGGTGAAGGCAAACGGCAACTTTTGAAGGTGACAGTAAATGGGGAGCCAGCTCAGGCTTTGCTTGATACAGGAAGTGTCCAAACCCTTGTCAGTCCGTCGATTTTGAAGGGTGAGGGGCAGTTTGTGGGACCAAGTATTGGCATATCCTGTGTTCATGGGGATCACAAGATTTATCCGACCGCCATAGTGTATGTTGAGGTGGCGGGGCAAACGTATCTGCTAACAGTGGGGGTAGTCTCCAACCTAGCCCACCAGGTTATCTTGGGGCAGGACATTCCCATTTTGACAGACCTCGTTCAGTCTTGTAAACCTGTCTGTCTGGTGACCAGGTCACAAAGTATGGCAAAAGGGGGGCCTGGGGGAGACAGGGAGGCTGTGCAGAGGGAGCCTGAAGTACCGGCTTTGGGTCAGCCAAACAAAGAACCCAGTCAGACAGATAACAATGGCCTATGTCATTTGCCTTTTTTTGACTCTGAGGTACCAAACACTGGCACTTTCAAGCCCAGAAAAAGTAGGTGCCAAAAGAGAAGGGAGAAAATGACAGGTACAGCTAAAATGTTGGCAGAGCATGTACCAAAGCCTGAGAAAGCAGATAACATGTCTGTGGATTTTTTCCAGCTCCAGAGGCAGGATGAGTCATTGCAAGAGGCATTCAGGGAAGCACAAAAGCAGTCCATTAACACATCCCAGACTGAAGGTTATGTCATGAGGGAGGGTTGGCTGTTTCACCATTCTGGGGACACTCAAACGGAGAGGTTAGTGGTTCCACGGTCCTTGCGTGAACAGGTGCTGGAGTTGGGGCATAACATACCGTGGGCGGGTCATTTGGGGTCCAAGAAGACTTATGACAGGATAGCCAGTAGGTTTTATTGGCCAGGACTTCAAGCCCAGGTGCAGAAATACTGTCAATCATGTCCAACCTGCCAGCTATCTGCTAACAAAAATATCCCAAAGTTTCCCCTACAGCCACTTCCCATTATTGATGTTCCTTTTAGCAGAATAGCTATGGATATAGTGGGACCGCTAGATCGGACACAAGCGGGTAATCGGTTTATCCTGGTTATTTGTGATTACAGTACACGTTACCCTGAAGCTTTCCCGTTAAGAGATGTGACGGCTAGGCAAATCGCCCATTGTCTCCTCCAACTGTTCTCTAGGGTAGGCATTCCCTCAGAAATATTGACAGATCAGGGAACTAATTTTATGTCTAACACTCTTCAGCAAGTTTACCGGTTATTGGGTATTAAGGGAATCCGGACCACCCCCTACCATCCCCAGACTGATGGACTTGTGGAGAGATACAACAGGACTATGAAAAGCATGCTAAAAAAAAGTGGTGTCAATCAGTGGAAAAGACTGGGACAAATAGTTGCCTTATTTAATGTTTGCTTACCGTGAGGTTCCTCAGGCTTCCACAGGGTTCTCGCCCTTCGAGCTCCTCTACGGCAGGAAGGTGAGGGGTCCCCTGGACGTGTTGCAAGAGTCTTGGATCGGCAAAAAGGTGGAGACTTCCAACATACTCTCCTATGTCCTCGAAATGCGGGATAAGATGGAGCGGACAACGAAGCTGGTGAGGGGAGAGATGGAGAAGGCACAGCTCAACCAGAAAACGTGGTATGATCGTGCGGCAAGGCAGAGGGTCTTCTCACCAGGTCAGCAAGTTCTTTTATTGTTGCCTACGACAGAGAATAAGTTACTCGCAAAGTGGAAAGGACCTTACAAAGTCTTAAGAAAGCAAAGTGACACTGTTTATGAGATAGAAATCCCAGAAAGGAAAAACTCAAAACAAACTTTTCACATTAACTTGCTAAAGGAGTGGAAAACCTGCGACCCAATTCCTTGTTCACAGTTCTATGTCAGGGCGGTGAAAGAGGAAGACGAGGAGGGTGAGTTTACCCCAGCGAGGCCCACTTCAGCCAAAATTGACCTGTCCCATCTCTCTTCCTCACAGCAACAAGAACTGGCAGCCATTTTTCCCCCGGGTCTTTTCCAAGACAAGCCAGGGTCCACAAACTTGGTGCAACACCATATTCATCTGATCGACAAGACTCCGATACGGCAGCGGATGTATCGTATCCCGGAGAGGATGGTGCCCGTGCTCTTGGAGGAGATTGAGGTCATGCTTGAGCTGGGAGTAATAGAGCCTTCAACCAGTGAATGGAGTAACCCAGTGGTCCTGGTTATCAAGAAAGATGGAAGTATCCGGTTTTGCATTGACTTCCGCAAGGTAAATGCACAATCAAAGTTTGATGCCTATCCTCTGCCCAGGCTTGACGACCTCATAGAGCGGGTGGGTCAGGCCCAGTTTGTGAGTACGCTGGACTTGTGCAAGGGGTACTGGCAAGTCCCTCTCACGGATGCTGCCAAGCCCCTCACAGCCTTCAGGACCCCTCATGGACTGTGGCAATTTACAAAAATGCCCTTTGGACTCCACGGAGCTCCTGCCACATTTCAAAGGCTAATGAACAAAGTCTTGTCAGGAATGGAGTCCTTCTCGGCAGCCTACCTCGATGATGTTCTGATTTACAGTAACTCTTGGGAGGAACATCTCCAACATTTAGGGGCTGTCCTGCAACGAATCAATCAGGCGGGCTTGACGGCAAACCCACGAAAATGCTCCCTGGCCAGGCAAGAACTGCAGTACCTGGGCCATATCTTGGGAGGTGGAGTGATACGGCCTGTGAAGGACAAAGTGGAGGCGGTGAGGGTGGCTGCCAGACCAACCACCAGAAAGCAGGTCCGCTCATTCCTAGGCCTAGTGGGTTGGTATCGGCGTTTCATCTGGAATTTCTCAGCTCGGGCTGCCCCTCTCTCTGACCTCACCAGTGCTAGCCAGTCAAAATTTGCTTGGGGAGAGGAACAGGAAAGTGCTTTCCAAGACCTGAAAAATGCACTTTGTCATGAGCCTGTTCTCCAGAGCCCGAACTTCAGCCTGCCCTTCACCGTTCAGACGGATGCTTCACTCAGAGGGGTCGGTGGAGTCCTGCTGCAAGGGGAAGGAGTAGACAAGAGACCGGTGGCTTATGTGAGCAGAAAACTGTTCCCAAGGGAGATGCGCTATTCGACTGTGGAGCTGGAGTGTTTGGCCATTAAGTGGGTGATTGACTCCCTCAAGTACTACCTCCTGGGGCGGGAGTTCACCCTCGAAACAGACCATCGAGCCCTCCAATGGCTGGAGTCTATGAAGGACACCAACAGTCGGATCACAAGATGGTTCTTGTCTCTCCAGCCCTACCGATTCAACATTAGCTATTTGCCGGGGAAGCAAAACACCGTGGCAGACTTCCTGTCCCGCGGCCAGGAGGTTGTGTCTTCCGAAGGGGGAGGAAATGTGAAGGAGTAGTTCCCACTCCTCACCCAGAGGTGTATCCTTCCTGTTTTATTTTGAAATATTTAGCTTTGTTTATATTCCCTGTCCCTAACTTTCCTTTTTCCCCTCTTGGAAGGTGATTGGTGGAGGAGCTGGCTGGAGGCGCGCCCATCCCAGTGCATGCCAGGTGCACCCAACTGAGCAATCAGCTGGGCTCCACCATGATCCTCCAAGAGAGGGGTGTTTCATTGGGACTAAACATAATATATACATACCTCAAATACCACGCCTGTTAACAAACACCACCACTAAGTTCAAATTACTATAAATTATGATTATAATATCTGCATAAATTAAAGATGTAAATAGTTATAAATATTTTGTAAATAGGGTAGGGCTACATTGTTGTGTCCCTGGGCGGGGGGTGGTTTTGGTTTGGGCCACTGTATAAAAAGAGGAGGATTCCATTTGAACGGTGTGTTCCTGTTGTGTGCCTGGGGGGATGCTGCCCAAATAAATAAGACATCTTTTGTGCAAATCTGCAACATTTGGACCTCTGTTTGTTTCCTGTCATGGTGAGAGGCTGTCCCAGTAGCTTAAACGCTACACATTGGTATTGAGTTTATTGTAGATGGGTGGAACCTCAATGAAAGACCCCACGGACTTACGCACTAGCCAACAGGCTGATGAGGGCGCTCCAGTACAAGAGGACAGAGCAGCTCTTCCCTTCCCCGTGGCCAAGTTTCTGGCCTTCCTTTTGGGAGTCACTTTGTTCCGTTTAAGGTTTTTGTTTTATTTTAGTTATGTTCTTTATCTGTTCTATTTTATTTTAGGGGTAAACTTATCTTTACAGAACGATTTATTTTCTTTGTCTATCCATGCAGAATTTCAGAAAAGTTAAAATAGCTACATATAATGTAAATGGGCTGGGAAATCCAGTTAAAA